GGTTTTATATGGAAAAAGTTGGCATGTCGGAGGGCGCAGCATTTACGTTTCACACTGGTGTCTGTAATGCGCATATGAAGTACGTGCGTGCGAAGGCGAGCAGAAAGGCCAAAAGGAAAGTACAATCTGACAGCAAAGATAAGGAAAATATTCAAGCTCTCGAGCAAGGTGCGTCGTTTTCTTCCTCGTGTATTCACTCGCTGATACTTTACTACAGTATAGTAGTAACAATGATACTCAGCCAGTGCATGCGTCGCCGTCTGTCACACTCGGAGCCTCTCTTGCACGCGCTCTTCGACGCCTCTTCAAGTCGTAGCATAATACACATAGTCACTTCTAAATTTGCCGTACATTTAATACCTACTTCGACGAATTCAAGCCTGAATGATTTCTCCATGACGACGGGTTCCTCACAAGCTGGGGCTGCTCAGTTTGGGACGATAATCTTAACACTTCGCGTGAAACCCTGCAATAAAAAAAATCCTCAAGGTTATCTGCAACAATATCGTCAAGAAATTATGTACAAGCTTCAGCCGGGTTGCAAGCAACTATCAAAGATGCTCGTGGAAAGAACAGAGGGCCTCGAGCGATCGAGCCCAGTATTTGAAACGTGCACGCCTTCTAGCGAAGAAGACATGATGAAGGAAAGGGTATTCGGTCAAGCAAACAAGCTTACTTGCTTTCGCCTTCGGAAGATGCGAAGTCTCAGTGTCTCGTAAGCTTAATTGGAGTCATCCCGCAGAATTCGCATAGTTGCTGCTGCGGCCGGGTTTAAGCTGATTGACCCTCGGAGTAGTTATCAATTTCACTCTCATTCACATGTTTCGCCCTCATTGTTATGGCGCTGTCTTGCACTTTTCATGGTATCGTTGGTACAGTACGCGCACGGGTACAGGTACGAGTCCATCGGGAATGGAAAGAATGAGGGAGCAAGAGCTGATGCGAGAATCGGAGTGACGGCGTCCACCATGAGTAATAGAACAGACTGGACAGATCCACATCAATTGAGGTTGTTATATTATAATGATGGGCGATGTTTGAAATGAGTGTAGGTTAATAAAAACAAGTTTGAGACGAGTAGGGATTGCCTAATGAGCGCGCTTCAGACTCTCATAATGCGGCTGAGTTTGAATGCTTACTATATGCTCGATGAGCTTTGAGAGAAAGGAACAGCACAAGCGCGAGTGAGATCAGTCGCCAAGATCCTTGTGCGTTGACTATAAAACATAATTGATGTGTTAGACTACATAGGCACACAATGAAGAAATGCTCGATGTTCGAACCTATATTATATTTGAGATTGGCGTTTTGAGACTAAGCCTGGGCTAAGGAAAAATGAGAGAAAAAGACGGATAGGGATAAGCAGTCAAAACCTTCGAGTCACGGTGAGATAGCACTAAGTGAGGTTTCCGGAAAAATACGACACTTCCCGAAAGCTACCAAAACAAAAGGGCATGCGATGGGCAGGTAAGAGAAAAGGGTGCAAGCAAACGCGACAGAGGGAAGACGACAAGAAGACGCGTGTAGTAGGACGTGTTTGCTCGCTTAGTGAAGCCATGAGCTATGACTGTCACGTGGAAAATCATGTAATCACATAATTTGAACATGTTCAAGTTGCGGAGCAACCAAACGAGTCCTTTCGAGTTCCAAGTCCGTCTTAACCACTACAGCAAATACACAAATGGCCGTACGTCGAGTTTTCTATCATCTCCTCACAAGCTGATTGCCCCCAAGGACCTCATCGTTCCGATGGATTTCGTCCCCACTGCCCAGCAACACGAGTCGTATGAGCAGTTCGACTTGGCACGCTATCTGCATTCCAAGTGGTATATTCCGAGAAAGCTACTTACATTGCTATAGGTTCAACATCATATCTCTTGAACTGAGACTTTCATCTCGCAGCTATTGGCGCAACAACTTAAACGGGTAAGTAAGATACATCCTCAGCCTTTGCATACCTCAGCGCTGACTCTTCACTCCATGCCATCATCACCTTTGACTCTTAAAACACAGAAATCTTGTCGTTTAGCTGCACTGTTGACTAATGTTAGCCATAGAAGTGCCGCTGTCCAAGCGCGAGTCTCTCTAGCGTTGGACGCCGAAACTCAAAGGATGGAGATCGTGCTGAATTTCATTCGGATAGCAGCAATCATAACATCTTGTGATATCTCAATCTTGACCTCCCTTGTCCATACCTGCGGCCACCTCGTCCTGTATCTTCATCTATTTGTCAAACTATTGCCCTTCATCGTCCCCATCTGCCTATGACGTCGAAATGCCCTGTTGTATGAAAACGAATACCCTTCTCCATCCTCAATTATCGAATCTCCTCCATTAGTTGCACCTGTTCCTGCTCTTCACCCAGCATCTCTTAGTTGGCAACTCTTCTGTGTTCCTATTATTAAGGATAATCTATTGCAGTTCATATCTGAAGGCCCGTCGCAGTGCTTTTTGAGCCGATCAAATTGTTTATACAACGGCAATGTTGCAAGGTGGTGGTAAGCCCGCCGCAACCCTGATCGTTTTCCACAGTCATGGGTCATATGGCCTTGCAAAGGTAAGTGCAATATGTTCAGTTATAGTTCTAATCACACAGTCACGTCCGAGGCTGTCCGAATATGGTCATGAAGGCTTGAAGGTATGGTGCAGTGATACCGAACTGGGATCATAAAGACGTTTGCATGTGAGAGTTGTGGCTCAACTTGAAGCTTCCTAAGGTTTTTTCCGTTGAATTCCAGGGCAATCGATGAATTGCTACCTTTAGTAATAGTAGTTCATTAATCAGAACTTGGGTAATCGTTTAGAAGTCCGCTTTGGCTCTCACACTTGAAACCAGACGACTCGGACCTCTTGATTCACTGTGGCAAGCCATCCCCATCATATCATGTCCTCCTCACCTAACATCCCCACTACTTCTTCCAAACCTGACTCTTGTCCTGACCAGTTCGTACAGGACAGCGCTCATCATGTCAAGCGCAACTGTGATAATCGGAGCATAGGACCCAAATCCAAATCCAAATCTCCCATATATGATGCATCACAGCTTGAGGGCCTTCCCCCCATAGTACAGCATATGTCGTGTTATGCGAAGCGTGCAAGCTCAAGATTCAAGCCCTATCGGCTTGGCAGGCATGTTCCTAACGCACTAGAGCACCGTTTCATGGCGAAAAGTGTCATGAAACATCCAGATGGTGTTATCAGCTTGGCAGATGTCCAGCAGGTATGTTAACTTTATTTATACCACAGATCCTGACATATTGACGAGCATTATATCAGGGAAAAGATATCTTGAGAAGAGGCCTGCAGCATATGTCAGACGCGGCCCTGCGGTCAGCTGTCATCGCAAAGCGAGCTGATGCAGAAAGCAAGCGCTTACACGCTCTTGCAACAGCTTGGGACCTCGAATCAACCGAAAGACATGCAATACTTCTCCAAATGATTCTCCACGACAATGCGGAAGACTATCTTCACAGCCTGGAAGATGCTCATCTCTTCGAATCGATCATGGTCAAACGTACCCGCCAGCAACTTGAAGATGACGCGGATTTCACAGTCGCTGCATATAGTCATGATGTTGTGGCACACAGTATAACGGACAACCAACTTGATCAACTGGAGGGCATCAGTGCTGAGCGGAATGTTCCCTTAGAGGACCCTGACAAATCAGACTCGGAAGATGTCGAAGATCGCTTTAACGATTACTTGGATTTCATACTGGAAGGGACGAAGAATATGATCGCGGTTGGCTGAGGTGAGGCGAGTATTATTATAGGAAACTGTCTTGCAGTACTGATCGCGCTTGTGGTCTAAATGACATGACCTACAGGCCAAATGCATACCTGCGTTCTATCATTCTCGTCAAATATATATAACGTACTCACATCAGCAGTAGCAAACAAGAAGAACAAGAAGAAGAACAAGAAGAAATGGACTTCACTAGTATACCATCATTTGCTACCAGTACTGTGTTGACCAAGACGCGGTCACGGTTGCCGAGTTCTTGACTATGTACACGAGATGTACATCATGATTATTTACTAGGACAGTTCAGTTACTGCTTGAAGTAGTACATCTTGTCAGTTGTAATTTGAAGCCGGAATCTAGTAAGCTATACCTAATATAAGTTACCGTAGGACTCAGACCATAACTTATGCCACAGAGGTGACTCGGTGACTCGGAGTCTTTCGAAATTCAACTTGAAGAACTTCGACGCTTCGTCTGATACTACTGAGGGTACATAGTCACGCTGGTGCTAGTGACGGTCATTCTGTTGAACGTTTCCTTGATTTGCGGAGAACCGTCACGACTCCGACAAGAGCTGCGGCGGCTGACAGTCTGATTCGGCCCTCGACGAATGTGCAAAAAACTTCTATGGCTTTTTCTTCTATTGCTCTTCATTTATCATCAGATCATGGTAGCCTGCAACGCTCCAGGCTGCTCCTGGGACCAGAGAACTGCCGATGCTCGAGGGCTTAGTAGGCATCGGGCATCATGTCGATTCTACCATAATTCCAAAGTTCTAGCAAGTCAGAAAAGACAAGAGAGGGCGAAACAAGCAGCCAGAGCTCCAATGGTCCTGCGGCGGTCGCCATTAGTGAAACCAGACTCAGTTAGTTCTTTGGTGAGCAGTCTTTCCTCGAGTTGGCAATGACTCGTCTCATGAACCGTTGCTCGATTGTCGTATACGTGACCTCTAGCAAATCATACCACCTGTCCAGCCTCACGTGGAGAGCTGCCGCCAATCAAAACCCATCATGCCGTGCAAAGTGTCTAGTAGGTACAAGACTTGGGCTGGCATGTCACGGTCTCCCGGCTACGGCACAGTGCCAGGTCTCAACTCAGAGCACCGTCATGGCGACCTTCAACAACTTGAATCCCAGTCAATGCAGCCTGAGCAGTTTGATCATTCTGATGCTTTGGGTAAGGCTACGCCTGAGTCTTCCTAGTCGGGCTCCCCAATAATACTCACCTATTCTGCTCTTCCGAATTATTCAGAAGAACTTGGACATTCGCACCATCTGAGACGGATACCTCGACCTTTTGAAGATGTTCCTCTGCCTGATGAGGATGCCAATTTCTCGGATAATGTTGATATGCCGCCCACTGGACCCCAATCGAGAATTCGGAGGGTCCTGCTGACATTACGGGACACGCTTCAGACTACGTTCAATTCTTTTGGACTTTGCCGATTGTACCCTCGCCGCCCGTCCTTCGAGCCAGACAAATTTGTCCCATCCTCGCTACTTTCGACGACGTGTCCGATAGTCATGCAAGAGACTGATTCACCTGACGTCCTTCCACCTCCCTACCCTTTTCCCAACATGACCGTTTATAGACTCATGTCTTGGATGAATTCCGGGAGCAATATGAAATCCGAGACTGAAGTTGCCCGTCTCGTCAAGGAAGTAATCTTGGCGGAGGATTTTGACAGTAAAAATCTAGAGGATTTCTCAATCAGGAAGAGTTTACGCGAAATGGACAACGTCCCGGGCAGCAAGACCATATTTCCAGATGACTGGATCCAGGCCAGTGTCACCATCGAAATCCCTACGAAATCAAAAGAGGAAGAAGCAAGACCTTTTTCTGTTCCAGGGTTCCATTTTCGCCCCCTCACCCAAGTCATTCGGTCAGCTTTTGCGGATATTCAAGCAAATGCGTTTCATCTTTGGCCTTTTAAGCGTGTATGGAAAGACCCGTTGGACAATCATCAAGAGCGGGTATTTGACGAGTTGTATACCTCCGACTCTTGGCTGGATGCACAGGACGAGCTGCAGAAACTCCCCAAGGAGCCCGGATGCTCACTGGAACGGGTAATTGCTGGCCTCATGTTTTTTTCGGATGCCACACATCTGGCAAATTTCGGAACGGCGAAGGCCTGGCCCCTCTATTTGTACTTTGGAAACTTGACTAAATATGCACGCTCTGCGCCAAAGTCTGGTGCATGTCATCTGGTGGGTTTTCTGCCGTCGGTGAGTGTTCTTACTGTAGTTCCAAACGTCACTTTAATATTTCCCCATCAGTTGCCTGATAAAATCAAAGATGTCTTGAGCAGCTTGCCTCGGATATCAAAAAGTGGTATGGCTGCCCTTCATACCCACTGTCGACGCGAGCTGTTTCAGGGGTGTTGGGATATCCTCCTGGATAAGGACTTTCTTCATGCATACCTGTCATGGTATTGTACTCAAGTGTGCCGATGGAGTATTTCGCAGGATTTTTCCTCGTATATTCACTTACTCCGCCGACTATCCCGAAAAGTACGTCCTGTCTTTAAATATAGGTATAGTATATCGCTCAATAAGTCTCAGGGTTTTAATTGCCACTATCAAAGATATGGGATTATGCCCTTGTCCCCGTTGCCTCACGCCGAAACACATGTTTAGCTCTCTAGGCCTCCTTAAGGATATGAAGAGTCGTATAAATAGTCTTCGAATTTACGTCAAAACCAACATTGTCAAGGCACGAGAATACATTTATCGGTCAGGACATACGGTAGATGGTACGAAGGTGGAAGATGTAGTCGGGGAAGGCTCATGGGTGCCTGTTCTAGTAAGTGCGATGTCTGATGCTTTGTCATACCGGCTCAGATGAGTAACCTACAGAATAAATTTGCCGAGAAGCTGGGAGGACTGGGCCTTGACCCATTCCGTATGCTCGTTGTAGACTTTATGCACGAGTGCGAGTTAGGTACCTGGAAGGCGCTGTTCACTCACCTCATCAGGCTCCTTTATGCACTACCAGGTGGAGTCCGACTAGTCGCAATTCTAGACTGGAGGTAGGTGTAGTGTTTTTACTCCAAATTAAGTTGCGAATTCTATTGCATTACAGATTTCGTCAGGTCCCAACTTTCGGTAATGGTGTAATCCGAACTTTTGCGAACAACACGTCCGAGATGAAGAGACTGGCCGCTCGGGACTTCGAGGATATGTTGCAGGTTTTTGTCTCTGTATTTCAATGTTATTTGGCTAACATGCTAACGCCCTGTATTTAGTGCGCGATACCTGTGTTCGAAGGGCTGTTTCCTGCTCAACACGACGTGATCGTGCAGTCTCTTCTTTATAGATTCGCACAATGGCATGCGCTTGCCAAACTAAGAACTCATTCAGAGTCAACTCTCGCTGTCCTGGACGAAACATTCAAGAAACTCTCGAGGCAGCTGCGGAGGTTCCGCGACTTTACTTGTGCTACCTTCCGGACTGTGGAACTACCAAGAGAGAAGGCAGCTCGCCAACGGAGGTTCGCCCAGTGTGAGGCTGGACCCAATAATACGTCTTCAGAACCTAGCGGACCGAAGGTGAAAAAATTCAACCTAAACACGTACAAGTTCCACGCAATGGGTGATTATGTGCGAACCATCAAGCTCTTCGGGACTGTAGATTCTTTCACCACTCAAATCGTAAGTGTTGTCTCTTTCCTAAGCCGCAAGAACTTGAACGCTTCTGAAATTATGTTATTGGTTAGGGAGAGCTGGCGCACAGGGCCCTGAAAGCGTTTTACCCGCTAACTAGCAAGCTGGACACTCCAGCACAGCTCGCCAAGCACGAGCGCAGACGCCGTTTGTTAAGGCGAGTAGCAGAACTCGGCGGAATCTCATGTCATGAATCTCCGGCCGATTCCCCTGCTCCACCGTTGTCTAACGGCCACCATTCTATCGCAAGCAGTCGAAACGATCCAATTTCGCTGTTTGCATTCCTCCAGGAAAACGACGATGATCCAGCTATAAAGGTAAAAAATTGTTGCACGTTTAGCTTCGTTGGACACTTATGACGACTTTTAGAACTTCATCCCGAGGCTGAAGGACCACATCTTGTATAGGTTGAAGAAGTTGGATGTAAGTCATTGTGATCACGCATTCACGGATGAGGAGCGCAACACCGTCATCATTCCAGACAATATCATCTACTCCGTCCAGACAATGCAGGTATACTATACGACGTACGACATGAGGCGCGAATATGACACCATCAACCCCAAGACACATGGTGATGTGATGGTGCTCTCAGGAGAAGACACACCCAGCCACCCATACTGGTATGCTCGGGTGATGGGTATCTATCACTTGGATACCTGGCTTCAACTCGGGGGCGAGCGAACCGAGGAACAGCACCTCGAGATCCTCCACGTCAGATGGCTCGCACCCCTAAGATCGCATCGATCTGGCGTACAGCACGCTCGCCTTCCTAAAGTGGCATTTGTGGAGGAGTCGGATTACGATGCCTTCGGATTTCTTGATCCCGGACAAGTGATTCGAGGAACTCATCTGATACCTGCATTCGCTTCGGACCGTGGTGAGAGCTCGCTTCGCCGTGGAAAATCGCTAGCTCGTCCTCATGGGGAACTGGACGACTGGGAAATGTTTTATGTTGGAATGTGAGTGAAATACATCTTCTGGTAACTGGGTGATTCTAATTTGTCATAGTTTTGTCGATCGTGACATGTTCTTACGTTATACTGACCTGGGCGTAGGACACCCGGTGACTTTGCGGAGGATTGTCAGAGGTTGTTTTGACCTACAACTACAGGCGTCGGAAGCTATGGATGTCGATGAAGGCGGAAACGATGGCCACGAAGAACAAGAAGAAGAACAAGGAATGGGCGTCGACCTTACCGATGAGGAGTCAGAGGACGGATGGGACGACTCAATTCTGGGTGAGGAAGAATCTGATGGATTTGATGACCTGGGAGAAGAACTTCTTGAGGAGACATCTAATGACCTCTCATTTTGAATTAGGTCCGAATTTGTAACTTCAAGTGACCGTTTTGACCATAAAATATGTCAGTCGGAACATTGACGTGCTTTCTAGATCTGCCAGTCATAGTAGTACGCACAGTTCAGACTCCTCCGAGAATTGATCGCTCCCGTGACTCCGACGGTAATCGCGTCTATGTGCATAAATGGCAACCAAGTGACCTACTACTTTAGGCTATAACCAGCGACTTGTTACGGCGTAAACTCCACGCTGTACGCCCGCCGCTACTTCAATTTTCAGGGTTTCTTAGACTAACCCAAAAATGACTTAACACGGGCTACTAGGGCAGAAGCGGTTGTGACTAGATCACCAAAACGGGCTCGAGACAGACTGCCAAGTAAGGTAAATTCCTATTGCCTATTTCGAGAAGGTTTTCACGACACGATCGTCTGGAGGAAGTAGTATATAAGACGGCCTCGGAGGTTCAACTTGCTCGTTCACCTTTCCTTCTCGTTCGCCCCTGCTTCATCTCTGATATGTTGTCTGAGAACGCCCCTCTCGATGCATCGCATTCTGTCCAAACGTCTCCTCATGCTAGGGCGAAACGAAAAATCGCCGCCCTCATGGAGGAAGTCGACCTTTTGAAGCAGGATAAAGCCACTAAGCAAAGGTGCGCACATCATTTCTCGGCCACTCAAAGTCTCATCTTCATTAGGAAGACAATCTATTATATTTCACAGGGACGAGCAATTCGCCGTATGGTGGCCCTTTACAGTCCTATAGAGGATCTAATCGCCGAAAATGACCGGCGCTGTGAAAATGATGATGAGTACAGTGACTTCACTCCGGAGTAAGTAGTACCGTTGTTCGTATTCTTATGTTTGTTTACGAAAAGAACAGACAAAACCGCCTCCAACGTGGCTACATTGAATTCGTTAAGATATTGCCGTGGGTTCACGAGAAGCTGTCAAGTCTTGACCACGAGGAGTCGGAAGACATGCTTCGAAAGGTACTTTCCGACATCATTCTGTCCACTTCTTACTCATTTTCCATATAGCTCAGGCGAGGCGCAGACTCAGCTCGTGGTGACGACACGGGAACTCTCAAAGAGCTCATGGCGTCATGGGTCAATATCGAATGTAATCCGACCCCTCTCATCAGGACGGATGACAAGCATCATCGAGGTTTTGTGAGCGACGCATGCAGTAAACTGCTCTGCCCAGCGGAATGGCGCTGGGGAGACCCAGTGTAAGTGATGGTCTTTGTCTCTGACATGGTACTGATATTTTGAGGCCAGCATCAGGGCTGGAATTCGTGACCGTACGACCTCCTTCATTGTATCTGAGAATTCATGGCCAACGTTTATGTATGAAAACTACCAAGCTGACGCCAATAATCTAGAACGTGGGCTTTTCAAGTCGAAGCTGTTGGTTATGGTGAGTAACCAAAACATTTCAACTAATTCACATTTCATCGCATCACAGGGGTTCAAGGCTATCTTTACCTCTCCATCCTCTGCCAACGAAGCCGATGGCGACGGCGATGGTGCAAACATCATTGAAAATAACCGACGCGCACGGAGACGATTGGATCAGGTCAAAGTGAAAACATGTGTGGCTTCTATCATAGGTATGCGGAAGGTGACTCCCCGTGCCATCGCGTATGCAACTTGCCAAGTAATCATAAATGCTTGCTTTTAACTGTAAGGCTGAAATTTATTTTTTGTAGATCCGTTTTGCACTTTCCAATGTCTCCTCTTGGCGCGCTGTAGACGGAGACTTTGATTATCAGATTTTCTGGGACAACATCGTGGATTTCTTTGAGGACGCCCCAGGTCCAGCAGCACGAGCCAGGGTCAAAGAGCTTCTTGAATGGTGGACTCGGTCAGCCATTGATTGTCACTGGCTCACTTTGATCGCTAACCCCCTGTACAGAAAGGTTTTCGGAAAAAACCATTGCGAGGACTTGACGATGGACATTGTTTCCCGAATGTCCGTCAGCGCTCTCGCTGTCCAGAGACAGGAGATGGAGAACGCTGTATTTGACTCTGAATAGTTGCTTACCTGCTGCTGTAGTCGTACATACTAGGCCCTACCTATACTACTAATATCATCAATTGTCTTGTGATCTGCAAAATTGATGTGCATATAGTTCTGAAATAATGTACAGTGCATCCTATCTGACCATAAGTCGCCTAAATATTGTCACTACCGCGAAATCTTTGAAGTCAATTATCCAATGCGTCATTGTGTTCCAGATGCTTCTCGGTGAGCAGTTGCATCTGGCAGCAACGGACTATAAAATATATACATTGAGAAATTATATGTACTCTGGCATAATCTGTCAACGAATTTGTGTCTAACATAACATAGGACGTTGTCTGTGCTCTAGACAATATACCACTCAAAGTGACACTTGTCCAACATTCAGTCAATACAGACAAACTATCAATGTACTGCTTCAAGCGATGATCTGCTAATAACTAGTCAATACAGACATTCTGTCCATTGAGAAGTAATTTTCACTCCAACATATCCTGCGATGTCATTTGCACTCGATTTGATGTATTGTTCACAGTGATGGCTATGAACAGCTTTGCTGTTATTCTTATTTTGCAACAATGTACTACCTGAAGGCCGAACGAGAGGCATCTGGACCACTAGTGACATCGCCGAAACATGTTCCATATTCACACATTCCAATCTCCCATCTTTTACCTGTCAGTTTTGATCCATATTTAAACTCATGAACCTGTGCCCACTCGCTTGTTCTCAGAGCCATCCAAGTTAAAAAGGTCGCGAAGCAAATGATGCTAATAGGTTGGTGTGGTTATACATTTCAACCTCATTTTTCACTCTGCTGGAAGTGAACAAGGCACGGCGTCTGCGCGATACTACAACTTCTGTAGGACGTGTCACAACTAAATACAAGTGTCGTGTGATGGGATACTCACAGAAGGTTGTGTGAATATCCAAAGCAATGCATAAATTTGGGCTCATTTGCTTTGAAGCATCCGTCATGTAGTTGAGGAGTGTACAAGTTCTTTAGAATTTTTGGGCTAGGGAGGCCAGAAGGGTTAAATTGCGAAGATGCCAATGATTGGGTGGGATTACAGTTTAGCACGATCATTATGTATGCTTGTAGCGCTACACCAAGTTTTAAATCATTTGTAGATATGGTCACTACCGGGAACTCTTTGAACCGGATCAAAATTGGAGGCTTTTGATTTTTCCCGAAGATTAGTGACGAACATTGAAGATTCCAAACAGATGTCGTGAAGTCAAACGGGACAAAAGTTTGATTTATCTCTCAAGCATCCGCTGCTCCGCAAAGGTAACGCTTTTTCGCACGGATTCCCAATCTATATCTAGCAGACAAGAATCCAACACCTTGAACGTTGCTTTCCCTGTGGGACTTGTGTTCCAGTAAGTTTCCATTGCACAATAATATTGCTTTTCAGCGACAGACTGGGAAATCTATGCATTGAGAAATCGTGTGTACTCTCACATACCTCGGAACTGTATTTGTGCTCCGTATAATGCATGGTTCTGTGCAACAGTTTACCAACAAACATTTTGCGTGCGCGACTCCGGTTCTTCTATGTCATTGCAACTCGGCGTCCATCGAGCAGTGATACCTACTTTAACACAACTCAGAACATTGTCACTATTCTATGCAATATACCACTCAAAGCGACACTCGTCGAACATTCGGTCAATACGGACAAACTATTCGTTGAGAATTAATGTCTACTGTTACTCACACTTTTTACCAGAGCAAGTTACTCGCCCATTCGGTAGTCATCCGCAGCGAGCAAAAATATATTGTGCAAAGACCAAATGACACCGTTCTCTTCACTTATGAGCATCGCCCGAGTGTCTCGTAGTTCTGCACGCTGCAACCTCCTTCCTTGTCCTTCTCAAACCAGGCTCATATTCCAATGCATGAACCTGTGCGAGCACATTGTCTCCTAGACCCGTGCCAGTGAAAAAGTCCTCGAGGCAAATAGGGCTACCAGGCCCGTGTACTTGCAAATTAGTCTTTCCTCGACAATGCCAAACATTCCCATGTGAAAGCGGGTGGCAAATTTACGCTGATTGTTGCGATGCTTAACAATATATTACTTTAAATATCATTCTCATTTGTTCACAGGTTCTCTGATGAAACGTTCTGCTTTCCTGACCTGGACTTGGACTAGTAGCAGTTCATGCCACGATGCGTGTGGGCTTGAATATTCACAATTGGTAAGTAGCTCCAAGTCTTTCAGAATCAGTTGAAAGAGGTTCAGCTGATCATGATTGCTAGGTGTGATACCGTTAGGCTAATACTGACGCGGCGATATTCTGTTTTGTCACTGTGTGGCGTCTTAGAAATTGCCCTACAGTTGAAGTCGCCAGTGCTTGTACTATTCTCGGACCATTGCGTTTCTGAATGGAGTTGCTTTCCCTAAGCGTTATGCTCAAAGATTCCACGCAGTACTCTCCCGGACATAATATTTTTCGCGATGATGGGAAACCATTTGGTGACCCAGAAAGGTTCGGTACAGATGCTGCACAATTTCGTTCAAAGTCGTGTGACCCCTGCTTATGGACTTGGTTGAGCAATGGCGCATTCGTTTGCACATCGATGGTCTTTTCCATGCTATGCCATGGCGTTCAGCTCCCTTGCACCACGACTTTCCTGTATCAGTTTATACTGCAGGTGAACAGGCCTTCATTTGAACAGCCAACGAATGGTTTCAATGATTCATCACAACTCCAGTAAGTGGTGTTACGAATTCCATGGTCGTGTGGTTCAATGGCGCGCTCGACTTCTGTTCTGTCTACCGCCGCGTCTGGCCCTCCTTTCCCAGAAATTCAGATACCGCTTGGACCAAAATGGCCCATCATAGTGCGTCGTTCCGTTTTGTCCCATCATGCACCCCTCAGTGATTGTTTGAAACCCTGTACTAACAGGACTAACTCGGATGACCGTGAGTGGATGCTCAAAACATGCATAACAGATTTGCGTTCGAAAGTCAGGTATCCGGACAAAATTGGTGGAGGTTTCGTGGTCTCTTTGGGATTCGCTCACCAAATACATTATCTGGCAAGTCATACACTCCGTTCGTTCTTGGCTCACACATGTGTAGAACTTGCTTCGCACAACCTTTTGGTTGTTGGAGTATCGTAAGCCCACAGGTCTTTCATTCCAAGGCACCCCGAAGTAGTCCGTATGCATCTTGGTAAATAGTCTTTCTGACTTGAGGACCAGGTGGTAACTTGTACTCGTGATATGCTACTGTTACGCTTCATATCACTGCATCGGAATGATCAGGCTGACAACATGTGTCTGACGTGACGATGATAACATGGGACTGGGTACAATGGAGTATGAGACAATTTTGCATTGTGCTAACAAGCACGTTGTTCCATTAAACAAATCAGAGGCTACTCGCTTAACACTATTGTCGACGGATGTCTTCCCAAATATTTTGCAAACTTTGGGAGCTTGTTAGAATTGTCATGTCGTTGGTGCGTTAGTAATCTAGATTCGGCACTTCAAGTTAAAGTCGAAAATCGATGTCCCAAAGCAATGAGGTTCATACCATTCACCGTTGATTGATGACCGCACAACTATGCATTTTCTAGCCGCACCTCCGTTGATACGTGGTCACTACTTCCGGTTGACATCATTCAGTATGGAATAATTTTCACGCAGAGTTTGACGCTTATCTCCGTGGGCGCTATCTTACTACGAGAAGTGTGCCCGGCGCCCAAACGAGGGGTGGACAGCTTGTGGAAAAAAAACAGCGGCAAGATGAGCAGTCAGTTGCATGTAAAATGGATTGCAAATTGCTTGACAGTGCCTACACTGCGGCCCGCCATGAACATAGGTACCCTGGGATAGAAATCAAATTGAATATCAAACACTTCTGTGACTACATCCACCATCATATGGAGAGGATGCAACAAGAATGCGATCAAGGGGGATAGGGCAGGTCCACGTTATCCTCCAAGCGGACCCAACTGGATCTAGGGATAAACACACGATGCTCGTCGATCCAATCTAAAATCTTCTCAAAGTTTCTACATTCGTGAGGAGAATTGAAATCAGCGAGCGGATTTGTCCTTCCCTCGATCCAATCATGAGTTATCAGGGTAACATCACCACTACACATAGTGAACTGCCTGAGTATCTCAATGCAGTGGTCTAAGGTGCGACATGAGCAGGTTGTGGGCAGAGCAAGAAGCAATATACTCACCGACATGGCGACGAGAGAGTTCGTGGGATTTATGCATGCCCCCATTCTCATGGTACTCGTTACCCCAGCTGACTTTGCGAAGTATGTCCTACAGGAATTTAAGCAAAGATCGACCAGCCTCTGTGTTTTACAACTGACTAGGCAATGGAGCTGGTGAATGACTTCTACAGTTGCTACGTAACCTCCACCGTATTCGTCCGGATACCTAGCCATGGCAGGAGAAGGTTTCTCCCCCGTTCTGAGCAGTTGCTCATGTGTCATACGGAGTGGGCGCACTGGGAAATATCATATTCAGTGGATGTCTATGATGTAAGTGAAGCATAGGGCACAACCATCAGAAGATACCCTATCCCAAATGGCGTCGAGCTCTGGGGATGGAGGGCCACTATATATGGAAGGTTTGTCTACGATAGTTCCGTTGAACTTTATGATGCCGATGGATTCAATTGCCTCGTTTGCTGGAGCTGTGATGGGTAAGTAAGGTCTTGTGCGCCGACTCTAGTCATCCACGTACAATATATAACTACGTCATCCATCGAAGGTGACCGTGCCCATTGTATGAAGAACCACAGAGTTATGGACATCAGTACACCATGGCTTAGCCAAGGCCACAGGTGAAGGAAGCGTGATTTTGGTGGAAGACTGATTGTTATACCACTACCAAGGAGCTTGGTATTGTCATCGTCGATCCCATCTAAATGAGAGTATTGAGAGTAGTATTCCTCATTCATGAGTCGCGAAATAAAATCAGGATCCGGAGTGGATGGGTCAAGTGTGAACCAGACAGCTTGGACGATTAAGTGCCTGTGAATAAATGCTTACTTCTATTTATCCCAGAAGCTGTGACAGTGCTCGGCGAATCTCGTGAGGCTTGAGTGGGCGGCGCCGAGGATCTGGTACAATCTTTCTGGATCATTGGACTAAGAGAGCAAATGGAGTACGTTATCTAATCTCCCAGACCCTTTCTCAGGTCTCGAAGCCACGTTTCATGACATGGCGACTCGTTATCCCCTTTCCTCTTATTGCGCTTCAGACTACCCCAGCCTTGAAACTTTCGTAGTTAGGTCGTGGGAGCAGCACTTTTGAGATTCCTAGGACAACATGATTTCCTGTGGTCTTGCTGGCATATCTATTTGTCTTGCGGGTACACAAATTGGTTACAAATGGTCCCTGCAGCTTCCCACCTGCAGGCTCCTGTAGGTCAAATAAATCGATATGTCCGTGACTCATGATCCGGAGAATAGCAATTCTAATTACCTTCAAAATTTCGGGGCTTAAATACGTCGACACTCAGCAGCGTTGCAAAGCCCATCAGCTTGCCGCATCTGTGATACTGAGGAAGTGGTTACCAATGCGTCGGACAGATGCTATGGTACGGTCCGATCCATTGTCGGTCATCATCAAGGTGTTGAAAACTAAAACTTGAGCATTTATCTGCGCGATGAACGGGGAGTGGTGGGTAGGTGCAAAAGACTGAGACTAGTGCGTAGTACTTGAGACGAGAGATTTCAAGGCTGCGAGTGTCTGCGAAGTGGGAAGAAGTTGCAATATTGAAGCTCGTGATCGCCTAATGCACGCGTGGACTAGCTTACATAGCTTAGTTAGTTCTAAGCCTTAACAGTCAGAAAACAACTAATTTCAGTGTTACATAATCTATATGTAATGATAACGATCGATAACGTTCAGTGAGCCATGTTGTTTCAAATAGCTGCCACGTCACTAAGGCTAACTTCGAAAGGACCTGTTTGCACCACTGCATGCCAGTTGGCAGAAACTGCATCATGACGTTGTCATAATGCAGACGCGTCAACGCCATCTGGTACTCTTTTTACTGGCGCAGATGTGGAGAGATATAACTGGTTGGTGATACAGATCAATGATTAATTGGTTCATCCACCATGCTTAATCGACATCCCCATAATGCATGCAGCACACCATTATAGGTGCAGCATTTCACACAATTTAAGGGCTCTTGGACCCAGATCGCGACTCTGCCCCTGCTGAGCCTGCTGAGTGCTCCCTCGTATTTCACTAACAAACGGAATCACTTTACTCAAAGGCCATGATCAAATTTTTTCGCAGTACTCTCCTATAGATACTGTCGACGACGACGATAAACTAGCAAAAAGGTTCGGTACAGAATCTTGTCCCAAGTCACGTATTCGTCGCTTGTGGTTGTCCCATGGCGTACTTATTTGCACATCGATTCTCTCTTTTGCGCTATGGATGCGTACACCTTCTACTCAGCTGCGCAACGACATTCCCAGTATATACTGTAAGTGGACAGATCACATCGAACAGTATAGTCATTGATCTATCACAGCTCCAGCAAGTGTTGCTGTTGAGCCCGTCACTCTAAGGATAAACGGAACCCTCGACTTTCCTTCTATCTATCGTGGCCCCCCCTCCCCAGAAATGGACGCCACTTGGGATAGGATATCTCGTAATGGTACGTCGTTGGTCCTGTTATGCTAATTATCAATTGTCCACCTCCATGAAACCCAGTGGGACCAACTCGAATGACCCGTGAGGAGATGCTCAAAGCAGGCACAACTTTGACAGAATTGCGCTCGAAAGTCAGATATCCGGACGAAGTTGGTGGGGGGTACATGGCCTCTATGGAAGTTATCCACCAATTGCATTGTGTGGTGAGCTATACTACACCGACAATTTATTCATTCTTGGCTCACTTGTATAGAACTTGCTCCGCAAAGCCTCCTGGTTTGAGCATTACTCGGCGTCTACAGATCGTTCATTCCAATTCCCTCCGGACGTAATCCATGTGCATATTGGTGAATATTATTTCTGCCTTAAGGCAATATTGCTTACAGTATATTGTTACGGTCCAGGTCACTGCATCGAAATGTTAAGGCAGAATATTATGTGCAAAGCCGACACGACGATGATTACATGGTACTGGGTGCAGGGACATGATGCCCCTCAAGCTAACTTCAACACCCGTCATCGATGCAGGAACTTCGAGAAAATTCTAGATTGGTCTTTCGAACACGCCGTTCACATCGATGAATCCAAGATGGTTCGCTTCGAGGATACGATTGACCTCCCAAAACCACCTCGTGACGCATGAAGAATATCACACTGCTCGCCTGCTTGCTCACCCCACTTGTTCAGGAATACCATGAAAGGAGGGCGATTATTGGTACCTTGGAAGAACTGTCGCATTGAGAGTTTATGAAACGAGCCGGATATAGATTTATATGATACAGAACGTCAGAAAAGCTTGTATATCTAGGCCAAAGGACAAGGATGATGCAGCAGAGATGCTTCCTAGTAGACACTTGCTAAGTTGCTTCCGGATCATCCTGTTTCCCAAAGCCACTAAACCCAATGGTTGTCGCTGATCAATAATTGGTGTGCGCCATTGCCTGCTACCCTGGTGTTCTCAAAAAATTCTCACCCGATGATGGTTCTCGAGTAGATCACGATGTGATGGATGGAATGTGGCCTTAAACATTTTGCAAAGCAGAATGGGAACCTACTTGCGTAAATATTACCAGGGCTTGCAAAGGAACTGATGACACTCCTCGTTTGTGTAATTTCAGGGCACTCGTTCCACTGCGTGAGTAGCTGAAAAGGAAATATACACATGCAGGAGCATGCAGGGCACCTGCATTCACGGCGAGCTGAACGATACGCCGCGTTAAAGTCGCACTTCGATGTAGTCTCCCCCGCGGATGGCTGTCACTTCCAGACCTCGATGGGGTTTCAGCCTACATAGGAAGAGGAGAAGGTCGGCTGCGGGGACGGGAGGGGCCGCCTCGCTGTCATTATCCTGCCTAATTTATCCCTTCAGGGCCCAAAAGATATGTTTGTATTCGTTATTTATGGACGACGGCGAGGCGCTGAATTGTGCCGCCGTGCGATGAGACAGGGATAATAGGAAGGTAAGGTGGACAGTCGTGACTCGTCGTAGCAGATGAACAAGAGGTGCGAAAGCTACGTTTAATGTTCACTCAAAGACTTCGAATTTCTCCGTTCGTGCCTAAAGCTAAAGGCCTTGCCTGCGTAATAAAGTGATAACTTTATGAACGATGAACGTTTGATCGGATGGCATCGATGAACGTTTGAACGATGTTAAATTGGCTGACGTGACGCTACTGATGGCCCTTAACTCAGGTATTACATATAGCTAGAAGTGCCTCGTCAGCTCATCGAGATATACTATGACAGTAATCACGAATGTGACTGCAGATGAGTCGCAAATGTCCAGGTAAATCAAACACGTCTAGCATTTCCAACTTGAGCCGTTGAATTTATCATTTCTAAGATTCTGTAAATTAATTACGTGCGGAAATAATACCAAGCTGAAAATCGGTTATTATTACATAAACACATTGTTTGACCTATTCATGCATGACCCAGCTACGACGTGGCGGCTACTCACAAACTACCAAACGTTACTTGCTAATGACGATGAAGTTTCTGTGGCGGACTCATTCGCATCAGTCCGAACTGAGCAATCCATTTGGACGTTCCGTGTACTTGCGAGGTTAGCCTTATCCCCTCGTGGTTTTTTCAGCATGATCATCATGCTGAACGCCACAGAACTCGTCATTACATGGACAACGCGGCAGTGTCTCAGTGGTTAGAGTGATTGCTCGTCATGGCTGTTTTCTCTATTCTGTTCATCGGTCACTGGGTCTTGGTCTAAATTCCCATGTTAGCTGTATCGTGGCGGTACTACACCCGACAGCTCCTCGCCAAGGTCTGCTATAGCTGGCCACGGTCTGGATATGTGTACGATCTTTTGTGGAGAGGCTAAAATGGAGCGGCCCTGCGAGAATGTATAAAAGATTCCCTCAGATTTTCAGTGTGAATCATCACTCTTATACATCCCTGACCATGCAACTTTCTGTGCTCCTAAGCGCGCTTATATCTTTCGTCATTCTTGCTACAGCGTCACCCACGCCTGGAGCCATCTCGAAACGTTCCTGTGAGTGTTCATGATCATCAGCAGTATCATATCCACTTATATGCCACAATGCATCACTCAGTCGAGCGAAACACGCTTGACACATACTTTCGAGGTGATCTCCTAGTAGGGAGCAAGAAGCGCAAGGAACTTGCGACACACCTCGCTTACTCCGACGACGACGTCCCAAGCACTGGAGGTGGGGTAACTTATTTGCTACTTACTCATTTACTCATGGTACCTTTTGTACAGGCAAGGAGTGCGATGAACTCGAGTCGCGTATCGCTTACGACAACTAGGGCAATGAACAGCCTAACATATATAAACCTGATTGATATGGCTATACATTCGATGCGACAAGAAGTAAGGATATCTACAAAACACCTCAATAGGAGTGGTACTCAAAATAAGTGTTGAAACCTTTTAAAACCTTTTAAAAACTCGCTTAACACGCTAAACACGCTCTGAATTCTCGGTTAAAGTTGGTTTCAACTCGCTCAAAACATGCTCGGCGCACGTCGGCACGAAGTCGGAGATTCAAACACTTATGATTTTTCAAAGTGTATGTTCATAGGGGAAAGTTGTACATAGAGTAAAAAAAAGCAACTCATAGTAGATATACACTGTATTTCAAATGTTAACATTCATAAAAAAAGAGGGAGCAGGAGCAGGAGTGAATTGCAAACTCCCAGCATGAGGTGTTTCAAGGGCATTTGCGTGATAAGGTATATGAGGGCCCAGAGAGTATCCTTGGCCATAATGTGAAGGCGCAGTACCGGAAGGTGAGGGATATGTGGGAGCGTGAGGTGACCATTGCAAAGTAGTGCCGAAGTGTGTGGGGGGACCAGCCCCACCACGCAATTGGACAAGTGAATATAGCGTGCCAGCGTGATCAATGGGCACTCAATAAGTACTGAGGGGAGGAGGACACATGAAAAAGATCTGCAGGCCCATACCGGCGCAGTAATGTTTGGCAGATAAGCCATAGTCGTTTCGCAGTTGCTCAGCAAGTTCCTCACACTCCGACTTCGAGAAGCCGTGCACAATGCCAGTATGGGTAGCATGCTGTGACTTGATGAAACCAGCAATGGCTTGAACCGCCTTCTTTTTCGTGGACGGTTTAGGCTGTACTGCGGCATAGTACAGGTTGGGGTGGTTGAAAGACTGCATCAGGCATAAGGGGTCGCATAAACCTATGAGCTGGCTGGATTGGAATGAGCGCAGAGTCGATCCCACAAGAAGGGGAGTGTAGAAGGTGTAGTGGGTAGTGAGGAACCAGCGGCTTGGCGGTAAAATTGAGCCGCTGTGGGTCATGTGTGGGACCGGCACTAGAATAGATTTCCTGTAAGATAAGAGTGAATATGTTAGCTGGAACTTACAGGAAGCAAAAAAAATACTTACCTTGGGTTGATGACACCTGAAAATTTGATGTCCTGCTCAGTGCTGTGTGTGAGCATTGAGGCTGGATGGTGAGGTTGACGATGGCATCAGTGTGCTCACTGCGAGACGAAACTTCGGAACTTTCTGAAATTTCAAACTCCACCACAAACTACGTCACATATACACAAATGGATAGGAGTTTTGATTCCCTCGACTCCCCGATTGTGACCATGCCTCAATCATCCATCCGTAAAGAACTCCTGGCTATTGTAGACCAGGCTGAACTTTCCCTGGCCAAGCTACAGTACCAGGATATCCTGGACGATTGGTCTGACTTTGAGAGCAATTCTGACTCTGAGGACTCCCTTTCCACTACTTCGGATGATGATAATTCAATCAATCTATCTTTTAGCTCGCCTTCCCCCCCTCCCCCCTCTCCCCTATGACAGGGGCTTCAGATTCTTCCAGTGATGGTTCTATATCCTCTGATGACATCGCTGTGCCTTACGACCGCCTCTGTGACACCATTAATGCTCTCCATGATGAGGTTAAGAGGGCTCGTGTACTCCATAAGCCCGATGAGCCTCCCCCATGAGCACCTCAGCTTCACATGTTGGTCCATCACGAAGAACACCGCCCTCACTTATTTCGGCAAAAACTCCGTGTTAACCCCGAGATCTTCGATGACATCCTCGATTTTATCTCTGATCATCCCATCTTCCAAAATCAGTCTAACAATCCTCAGCTCCCTGTCTCCATTCAACTTGCCAATTTTTTGAATTGAGCCGGCCACTATGGAAATGCTATTACTCTTGAAGATGTTGCTCAATGGGCAGGCGTGAGTGTTGGGTCTGTGGTTAATTGCACTAATCATGTGATGATTGCGGTGCTTGATGCTCACAATCAGTTTATCTGCTTCCCAGCGGATAATTCTGAGGATGCTGACTTGGCTTGCAAATTTGCCGAGTCATGTACCTGCCCAGAGTGGAAGGGTGGCTTTCTAGCAATTGATGGCTCAACTATGAATTTTTTCACCAAACCTGGTTACTTCAGTGTAGGGATTCATTTCTGACTGGGCTTGTAGAGACTGTTTTTACCTTACCTTATGTTGGCACTTTTGTAGCTTACATAAGCAATCAATCTTTTCACCAGTTACCAGTATGAGTCTGAGAGATCAGCAGTTTTCTATCATATTTCCTCTCCTCTGAGCCTTGAGTCTAGTCCAGAAACCCTTTAGGGTCGAATAGCAGCTAGGTTCTGCAAGACCCAACATTTGTTCAGACTCACCATCTGAATTGTTGTACCTTCATCGGTGAGACATTTTATGATAGGACATCTAAATATTCCCTTGGCTGTCAGGTTATTTTTTTTCAATCTTCATGTGCAAAAATTGATTTAATTCTAGGCAGTCATTTTGCCCCATAACCTTCTCATTGTGGATTATTCTCTGGGTCATCCTGGGAGTGTCCATGATGCATTTGCTTTTCGATCTACCCGTCTCTATGAAGAGCATGCTGACCTTCTACCTGATGATCATTGGGTGTGGGCTGACAGTGCATATCCATTGGAGCCATGGTGCATTGCCCCTTTCAAGAAGCCTCGCAATGGGCGGTTGACTAAGGACCAGAAGACATTTAATTATCATCTCTCTAAGGTATTTTTTTTTGAGGTTTATATTTCAGTAAATTGAATTTTTTTAGATCTGTGTTCATGTTGAACACACATTTGCTGTTTTGAAGGGACAGTTCCAGTCCCTTCGAGAGCTCCGGTTCAGAATTCAGGCTGAAAAAGACCTTGAGTTTGCTGTGCAGTGGATCAAGTGTAGTGATATGCAGGGGTATGGGTAACCCGTGGGTTTTTGGAGGGTTTTTTGGAGGGTATGGGTAGGGGTACAGGAATTTGAACCCGTGGGAAACCCGTACCTGCAGCTATGTACCCGTGTACCCTCAGAATTTGAAACTCAATTTATAATAGGGCAATTTCAAATGATGTCTTTATTCAACCTTTACCATGGCAGGTACTACAAAAGCTAAGAATAAAGCTCCTGGCAAAGTCAAGCATACGAAAACATCTACACAAACTGTCTTGCAATCCCACAAGAAATCTGTAGCAACTCGCAAAATCTCTACCTCTGCATCTAGAGCTTCGACACCATCCTCCACTGGAGGATTTTCACGAAGGGCAACAGTTCAAGACTCCGACTCCGACGATGATGATGAACCGAGTCACGTTGGGAGCAGTCTCGATGCTGATGGAGATGTAACAATGGAGGCTGTAGTGGAGGACAGTGAAGAAGAGTCGGCGGCTGAGGATGAAGAGGGTGAAATAAGTGAATCTAGTCCTCGGCGCTGTATTATATGATGCTGAAGGTTGACAGGACGACTTTCGAAAGACTGGACGGCACCCGTTTATGCATTCTTCAGGTCCGCCCCTACCATCGAGTACATTGACGGCCGCCGATGTCACTCGTTCCAATGTGCTGCAACAAATTGTAAGCACAAAACATGGGGGGTGAGGAGATATCTTGATACTGGGGATGCAAAGTCCACAGGAAATATGCGTAAACACGCAAAGAAATGCTGGGGTGCTGAAACTGTCGAATCAGCCGACAAAGCCAAGAATGCAACAGAGGTGTGCGGGACAACGGTCAAAGGGATCCTGGATCCACAAACCATAACGGTTGCCTTTGAGCGTAAAGGGAAAGGGAAAGTGACGTTCTCGCACCGTCAACATATGAAAATGGAATCGTGGGCAGAGATAGTGTGTTGGGTGGCCGAGAGTAAGAGGCCCTTTCAAATTGTCAGTGATTGTGGCTTCCAGAGCTTAATGAAAATGGGAAGACTGGAATATTACATACCTTCACCCACAACAGTATCTCGCGATGTCAAGAAGGTGTTTGCGAATACGGATACCATGATTGAGGCACTCAGTGATTTGATTCCCTCGTTCCCTGGGAATCCCAACTGTGCATGGTGCTTCAACCATGTGATCGCCCTCATAGCAAAAAGTTTGATACATCAATTTGATGTCCCCAAAGGCATGGCAGATGCAGCACTGGACGACACAGAGAGGGAGTTGAGAGATCTTGCCGAGGGTCTTGATATTGAGGATGAGCAGACCAGAGGTGAATGGGAGGGGAAGGAAGATGAACAGCTACACAAGATCACATTCGCACTCCTCCACTCAACAACACTTCTCCTGCCCTTGTGGTTTCAAATGCTCCGGAAGCTCGGCCTACCAGAACAGAAAATGCTGCATGACGTAGCAACACGGTGGAACTCAACCTTTGACATGCTGGCATTCGCAATAGAGTATCAGTTAGCCATTGACAGTGTTACAGCAGACAAAAGTGCAAACCTGCGCAAGTTTGAGTTGGATAAGGATGAGTGGATCATTGCTGGACAGCTCCACAGCACGTTGAAGGTGCATGCATTTCTATTTTTAGGATTGATGCTGCATGTTCTCATTACGACTTAGATATTCAAAGACGCAACATTATTTTTCTCTCGTTCCACTCCCAGTCTTGCGACTGTGATCCCTGCAATGGATCACATTGACGAAATGCTCACCAACCACTCCCTTAATCATGATTATGAACTATCAATTTGTGCTGCCCTAGGGATCGCCAAGAAAACACTCAACCGCTATTACAACGCTACAGATCAATCTGAAGTATATCGTATTGCTATGGGTACGAAGTCTTTTTCTTTCAGAATGGTTATAACTACTAATATAATAATGCTATCTATTGACAGTGTTACATCCCCAACACAAACTTAAATATTTCGAGCGTGCTGGCTGGGAGCGCGCCTGGATTGATACTGCAGAGGAGATTGTGAGGGATGTCTTCAATCAGTCCTATTCCACACTACGTGCATCTGGTGCACATGAGGATATACCTGCACCTGTAAATGAGCAGACCAAGGTATGTTTTGTTTAAGCGCTTTTGATACTGCTGGTGTGTAACTGATCTTCTATACTAGGTACTTAATATATTTGACGATCTGCCCTCCCTTGCTGCTTTGCGTGCTGCAGAAATGCTCGACAAAGTTTCACGCTACCTCAGCACCGATCCAGAGCAAGCAAGGGATGTCCTTCTCTGGTGGCATGAGCGAAAATCAGTATACCCTTGTCTATCCTGCATGGCGCTCGACTACTTGTCGATTCCCGGTGAGCTACTAACTTATACTATGGCAATGGTGTTGTCTTACTAATGACATCAGCAATGTCAACTGATGTTGAGCATGTTTTCAGTCCGGGCCGCCTCATTTTGTCTCATGTTCATAACTGGTTATCTGCACAGTCAACACATGCTCTACTCTGTCTCGGAAACTGGAGTCTGATGGGCTATGTGAAGAACAAGGACATTACTGCTGTCACAATTCTACCAGAGGTTGCAGGAGACGATGAGGAGCTTGAAGAAGGCTGGGACATCATAGATTAATTTTTTCAATTTGTTTCATGCTAGTAGCGGCTCGAATAATTACAGACTTGTGCTTAGTGTCATTGGTGTACCCGCGGGTTACCCGCTGCGGATACGGGTATGGGTACACCCAAGGGTATGAATATCTGACCCATGAAAAAACCCCTACCCCTGGTACAGGTACGGGTTTTCACGGGTAAGGGTATGGGTATAGTAAAAAATACCCACAGGTTACCCGTGCAGAACACTACTTGTCGACGAATGATGGTGCGGACAAGCAGCTACATGCACTTGGCCGCGCTGTACAATGAACAGAGGTGAGTCCATTCTTTGCATACTTTCACTTTTACTGATAGACTTAGGATGGGTTTATTGTCAGTGATGAGCAGGAGATGATTCCAACATCTAACTTTCGAAGGTCTTTCAGGAAAATATCTGCCAATGACGACGAACTCGCTTGTGGGCTGACGGAGTTGTCACACAAGTATGCAAAACTCGTGCCGAATCCTTTGCGCGCAAAATCCCAAGGACATATGGTGTATTCGGTCCCTCTCATAATCTTCATGGACGACATATCCGGCAATATATCCAAGCAATGGAACAAGCACCATGCAGTGTACATGTCAAACACGAATCTACCTCATGAAATGCTTGAGACAGAGTTTTGCATTTGATTTGTCATGTCATCTCCTCATGCAGCCCCAATGGAGATGATGAGCGCCATGGAAGAATCAATTAGGTACGTGATACTTATAATGTGCTATAGCAAAACATGATGCTGGTGATCATAGGAAAGCTGCAGAATCCGGAGTCTTCACTTGGGACTGCAAGCACGAAGAAGAAGTTATGCTGGAGCTATATGGTCTGTTTCTCGGTGGCAACAATCCCATGCAGGCCGAGGAATGTAGCCAAGCAGGGCTGCATTGCAACTACTTCTGCAGGACATGTGAAGTTGGCAGAACAAAAGAGTACAAAGAGTCAGATGAGGGCTACAAGAGTATCTTCGTGGTATGTAGCATATTCTTGTCCTGCTTGTCACCATGTTGACTGACTGTCCGAGTAACCAGGAAAACATTGCACTCCCGCAGGAACGGCAGAAGAGATTCACACGCAGTTTTCTTCTGTGCTTGCTTTGTGTGCAACAGAAAAGATTAAGAAATCTGTCGCTTCGTCAGGTGTGAAGGACACAATAACTGGTTACATTCTCGAGACAGTCATTGAGCTGGGGAAGAAACTTCGCAAATGGGGTGCTGGTGTTCAGGCAAAGCCAGAGGCTGAAGTCAAGGCTATCCTAGAGAAGCAACTCGAAGACCTCCTGTGAGGGAGCACTCTCGATGACACTGTAGAAACAACAATACTGTGAGGAACAAATGAAGCTCCTGACTGTATCTATAAATGTTGTAAGGTCGCGCATTGCCTAGTCTGCTATACTTGAGAAGACAAGTGTGTTCGACCCTAAAGGGGAAGCGAGTGCAGCAAGGATCTAGTGATATACGCTGAAGCGAAGCGCGAGAAAGCACAGGTGCGCGCAAGGCGTGGGAACACGCGCACATATGCGGAAATGATAGAGAGACTAGACTTAAGTGATAATATGATGTAAGATAAGAGATGTGAGACGCGATGTGCCAAAGAATAGATTTCTACTATGTTCTGCTAAGTAGTAAGTTGGTAGTGCTGTGGTTTAGTGGCAAAGTAAGTAGTGAAAGGTAAGTGAAAAGTGAAGTCCTCATAGTATGTACTGCTGGCGCTTATATAGTGCGCCTAAGCGCGGTCATGCGGAGTCGAAGCGCTACCGAGTAGGTATGTTAAGATATATATAAGTAAGGGTCCATGATAAAAATAAAGGTGGAACAATATGCAGTTGAGAGAAATGGAAATATACGCACTAGAGAACTTGGTGGACAGTGGATGGATGCATCTGGATGGCTGGCGCTATAGGGCGCTCAAGCGCGGGAAAGCGCACGTGCATATACATCGTGAAGCACGGGAAGTCACACACACATGGCGCGCATTGTGCGGGAAAGCTGTGCCTCATATAGGGATAGCTGTGGATAGCACACAGAGTGGTGCTGCGAGTTCATGCAATGTACTCCCTAGTGAAAACTGCCATATCACACCATGAGAGGCATGATTCTCTACAACGCCATCAATCCGTTACTGGGCATGGAAGGTAACATTTATGTCCTCGTTTTCAGCTTTACATTGACCTTTTGTCAGGATTTAATGTTCATCAGGACACGCCGACAGAAATTCTACATATGGTTCTACTGGGAGTCATCAAGTACTTTTGGGGTCAATCTGTTTATCTTCTCAAGAAGGCAAAACTACTAGATGTTTTTCAAGTGCGTCTCGACTCTATCAAGAAGGCTGGGCTCAATGCTCCATGTCTCAACGCTGAGTATATCTGTCATTATAAGGGTGGGCTCATAGGGAAACACTTCAAAAGTTTGGCACAAGTCATGCCCTTTCTCATTCAAGACTTACTGCCGAGAACAGTACTTGATGGCTGGACATGTATTGGTGAGCTCGTTGTGTATGTTTGGCACACAGAGATAGATGATATAGAGTATGATCGCGCTCTGACACTGCTGCACCAATGCTGATTGAATCATAGACGAAGCTTTCCCAGACAATTGAGGATGTCCTCAATGTCACAGCAAAATGTGCACCAAGCATTCTCATCTCAAAGCCGAAATTCCACTTTTTGGTCCATCTTCCCGCATACATTCGACACTTTGGACCAGCCATTCTCTTTTCCACTGAATGATACGAGTCGTTCAATTACGTGTTCCGGCTGGCATGTATACATAGCAATTGACAAGGTCCAAGCCAGGATACATGCAAAGTATTTGCGAGGCAAGATATCATCAAACATATCGCGACCGGTGGTTACTGGTTTGATAGTGTTAGGAAAAAGTGGATTCGGGCAGGTGACACAGTTTTGAACTACCTTGACAAGCATCCAGAGCAAGCACGGCTTTTAGGAATTCATATATGAGAACCTCCTGTGACAGGTAATGTGTTCATTGAATACCGAGCATCGTGGATTGTAATGTCTATTACTCAAGGAACCGGTCAACTCAAGAAAGTAACTATCAACGATGGACGGCCTGCAGCAGCAAAACCTGTGATGTGGACAGCAATGCATTGCACCACGCTCAAGCTCTCACAACCTGTCTGTAATGCTCAATACCACGAAGGTGTCTCGTTGATTCTTGGCAATGGCAAGAAAGCATCCTTGGAAGGCCATATTATTTTCAACGACCCTTCAACATCCCACACAGCCATTGGGTGCATTCGCGAGATTTTGATTTTGAACTCTAACAAAGCTGTGAACCATGTCGCTGTTCAGAAATTTGCTTTTGGACCTGTTTTGCATCCTTCGCTTCACCTCCCCACTCTCAAGCTCACAGAACATGAGGTTGTTATTAGCCCACAAGTAAGTTTGAACACGATCCTTCAATCGAGCTTATTGACATGCTCATGCAGTGAATCTAGGAAATCATTTGTATAGTAAACATCCAGCATGACTGTGTCAAATCACAGTGCACAGACACTGGTCAATGTCACCTTCATCAAGAGTGAACCGAGACCACATGTACGAAGTCCATCATTCAGCAAAAATCCTCACTGTTCTACTTGCTCAATGCTTACTCAATTCACAACTATGCCCAAATTTGATCTGTCATTCCTCTGTCACTTCACGAGACATCATTGAGGGTCGATAATGCAACAGAGGTTCATTTAGTGGCAGCTCGTCAAATCCAGGAGAAGAAAGCAGCCAAGAAATCAGGTGAAACACCAGATACTGAGCTTTCGAGCGCATTGCGCGATGCCATAGCTGATGTTCCTGCAGTATTTGACCGTCCAGCAGCGAAACAAACCAAGAAAATGCAGAAAGCAAAAGACAAGGCACCTCTGCCGCAGCCGGGTCCACGACAACCCACAATCACACAGGCAGCCGCGTCTTCGAGTTCTCATCTCCCAGCACCCATGCCTTCTCATCTCCCATCACTACATCTGCCTGCTACTGTACCTTCACAGATGCAGCATTCCCTCGTACCCCCATATAGCGCTCCCCATTTACATAACTCTTTGCAGTCACCCCCAATGGTATTGACGCAGCAATCATCTCCCACACTCGGTCCACCTAGACCTCTCCCTTCTCATCCTTGGCCATCAAACTCACCTTCCATGGTGCCGCCAATGTATCCTGGGCAATATGGTGTCCCACCATATCAGTACTCTTTGGGGCCAGCTCTTCCAAATCCCTCATACCCTCCCCCCCCCTCCACCCTCCCTTCACCCCCCCATTCACAACAACTGCCATATGGACTTCCCTTGCAACCTTCCGTGCCAGTGATGACCTCACACATCTGGCACCCTCAGGCTCCACAGTCCAATAGATGGTACTAGACAGAACTCCCCATTTGAAATTTTTCCTCTAGTGTTCTTCAACAGGTTCGTGTGTTTGTCCTTGAAATTTTTCCTCCAGCATTCTTCAATAGGTTCGCGTGTTTGTCCTTGAAATTTTTCCTCCAGTGTTCTTCAATAGGTTCATGTGTTTGTCCTTGAAATTTTTCCTCCAGTGTTCTTTGACAGGTTTGCATGTTTGTCTTTGAAATTTTTCCTCCAGCATTCTTTGATAGGTTTGCATGTTTATCTTTGAAGTTTTTCCTCCAGTGTTCTTCGACAGGTTCGCGTGTTTGTCTTTAAAATTTTTCCTACTTCATCACACCTTACATTACAATATATCAATACCAGTATCTTCCAGTCTGCCCAGAGGACAGAGGCCTGAATTTTCATAGACACTCCAACATCATCCAAATAAACTTAAATTTTCATTTTCTGGATGTCAACTTTCGGAGTGATATGGATTCTATTTATAATATCAAACTTCAAGCAAGGGCAGCCGCTGTGGCCTTTGGCATTTGCGACAATGTTCCAACATGGTTATCATCTGCACATACCTTCTGGCAGCAACCAACGCCCAAGATCACCTTCACGAGCAGAGCAATTGCTGAAGCCACAGTCGAACCCAGGAACTTTGGGGGCAAGATCCATAGGAAGGAGTACTACACCTGACCCTGGCAGCGGAAGCTCATCCAACTATCTGTCTGCTGGAGGGCATGGTAGGTCCTCGTATATAAGATCTAATTTGACTTGCTAATGTACTTCATACTGCACAGATACTTCCTGTTCCCCAAACCATCAATCTACAACTCCAAGCGGTGATGGCCCAGTGGTACCTGGCCTTGAAGTCCAGCCCCCCTGTAGTCCAACATCATCGTTGGATGAGCCAATCAGCACCGCAGTTCGTCGACGCAGGAATAGTGGAACTTTCAACCATGGGGATCCTATGAAGCTTACACCCCAACGAACAAAACACTTGAAGACATATGCCAAGAAGATATGCGAAGACAATGATGTCCCTACCAGAGACGTCATGTGTTTCATCGATGTAAGAAAATTTTGTCAAACCATTGGCATTGTTGTGTTGGCTGACTCTGGCTTGATGCAGTCTGGCAACATCTTCTTTATGATCATAGACCTGAAAATTACTCTTATCAAACTTTGCAAGGTAAATAGGGCGAAGAGAATGCAGGAATTGAAGGATGCCTTAGAATCGAAGGACTTCGAGGTGACAATGGTACTTTTCATTCTGCATTATTCTAGACTAACTTGGACTGGAAGAATGGGCTATATAACCGTTTATTTGCATGTATGCTGTCACCAAATATCACAGCATATGTTACTGATACTCAGCATCATATAATGGTATGGCTTTGAAGTCTATTGTTCAGCACCGCCAAATTGTTTCAGGACTTCATTACCACTCATTCCGATGTCTTCAAAATCCCTCCTGGAATGCTTGAGGATGTCAAACTCAGAGCTCAGTTGGGCAAATCGGTCACAAAGCTACTTACAGGCATTCAGAGTGTCATCAAGAATGCCGTATGTCTCACTACTTTGTTGATGTACTCTCACTTATGATCATTGCTGTGTAGCTCACCGCATCAGTTGTCAAGCGCACGAGCATCGCTGATGTGACGAGGGCACTTGCATGCAGCGGGTCTGGTATGGAAGTTGACTCTACACATTGGAACAGGATCGCGCTCCTTGTAAGTAATACTACATACATATCTATTAGCATTAACACTCGTTTGTATGGGGACAGTGGCATCTTCTGCAAATTTTTCTCATTGGAGTCAGCGACTACAAAAATGCTTCCATCAACGATTTATTTTCCCCTTACCTTATTCCGTCACTTAAGCAGGATATATGGCGCAAAGTTGAACGTGAACTTGGTGTCAACATTGCACAGCTTGAAGATGACTTGTTTGGCACTAACGATGCGCTTGAGTCTAACGATCAGGCCTCCCCAGACACTCCAACAGGTAATGGTCATGCGCCCAATGCTAGGAGGATTGAGGATGGTGCCAACATGGACAATGAAGAGCTCGAGGACCAAAGTGGAGTGCAGATAGGTGGTGGGGATGCTAATGGAGAGGAAGAGGAATTGAATGGGCTCGGGAACAGTGTCAAAACTGCCGCAGTCTTACTAGATGATCCAATGGACTCCGGATTTGGACTGGTTGAAGGTACTCCAGCACAGTACACCAATACCATCAGATTCTGGAACTTTGTCGACCACTTGCTCTTAGTCATGCGCCAAATATCTAAGGAAGCCTCCTTGATTCCCACCGAGCAAGAGAAGGAGTTGCAGAAGTGCATTTTTGTTGGCTCATGCAGTTATTGACACTGATGTTCGGCTAGGTTGTTCATTGAAATATTCCAAGCTGATCTCGCCGAGTTTCCTGGTGGCAAGAAGGTCTCGAAGTTAATTTCAAGGACGAATCCTCGTTGGCAGACTACTATTCAGACCAAGCTTATTTGGACCACCTAATATTTCCATTCATTTTCACCGCTCCTGTACTGCCACATCCCTCATTTTAATCATACCTGTCATCATTTGGTACAAGAATAATATGTGCTTTCTATGATCTCTCAATGGCGCAAATATCAGTGCAAAAATATTCAGGTAGTACTGCTACAGCATGTTGATGGGTGTGCACTCTACATATGCTCAAGTGTCATATCTATGCCGGAATTATATAGCTTGTACATCAGCCAACCAGTATACTACCAATACCTAGGTCTCAGTATAGGATCTATGTTTTCAACCAAGCATAATTTCAGTGCTCAATCTCAGTACATAATGCGCACCCAAAAACAGCTGATGGACCTATACCCTACCAGCATCGCATTCACACTCTTAGTGCTGCCGTGGTCCGGTTCGGTCCGGTTCAGAGGGCCCTGGATGAGAACCGAGAACCGGACCATGGTCCGGTGTAGAAGAGGAATGGGAAGTGGGTGAATATAAGTGGTATGAGAAAACTCAAGTAGTCCTCGGTGAGCGAGATATACGTCGGCCCAAGGGGATTGCTACTGAGAAGGTTCCTCTAGGTGTATAAAACGGAGGGAAACACTGAACCGGGCGCTCGGTCAAGCCTGGTTAGGCACGCGACGATGAGCGAAGCGCGAGCGACATGAGGCGCCGATGAGCGATAGCGGCCGACGATAGATATCGACGCACGACTTATAACGGAAGCGCGCGCTTTAAGCGGAAGCGGTGCGCGTGCGGGTGGTGGAGCGCAGCAACTCTTAATGAGTCAGAATACTAATGGACAGAGTTTCTAGTAGTGTACGGCGGCGGCGCTCGTATTTGTACTTCGATACTTTTGAGTTTTTAGAGGTTAACTTAGACTTATAGTCCAACGATGTGTGGGCAGAAAAAGATACCTATTACACAATTTATGCGCGTCTATATATACTAAGTAATGATAAGCGCTGTCAAGCGCTAAAGTGAACCGAGAAGCGAAGCGGACGCGAGATAATATGTAATAAAGGGTTCATAACGAAAAACATACGAAATATGGCCATAAGCGCCGGAGATATGTTAGAATCAATGAAAATAGAATCGGAATACGCACCGACGAACCGAACAGACATGGAATGGATGGACGGAGGACGTGCGACGGAACCGAGGATGTGCACGCCGATGCGCGACTAAGGAGTGACCGGAGCGCTGGCGCTTGCGAGCGGCCGACAAAGCGCGGGGGCGCGCTGTGTGAGGTATGAGTCGCGCTATGTGAGGAAGTGATAGTAACAATGGGATTTTAGATCCCTGCAAGGCCACAGAGATATTAGTCTCTACACCGGTTCTGCAAAATCTTTGAACCCCGAACCGGACCACAGAGAACCATTCTCTGTGGTCTGGTTCGGTTTTTTTCTGGTCCGAACTCGAACCGAACCCGAAAATTTTCAGTGGTGAGCGCGAAAAAAAATACATTGAAATACTACTTTACACATCGAGTAGCTACTCCAATGACATAGCTACATACCCATCTCTGCCTCTGTAGTTGCTGAAGATGCTGACATGCCGGGAGGAATGTGAAAGTAGGAAGTGAGGACGGTGCAGTTCTTGGCAATGAAGGCTGCACGCTGGACGTTTAGACAGAGGATGGCATCATTTCAGAACAGCGAGACAACACCTGCACATCCTGAGTGAGAGACGGCGGGTTAGAAACATGAAAAAAAAACGATTGTAAAAAGGACTCACTAAGACACTGCGAACGGCAGGCAACAACTTTAATCAGCATGGCTTGAGCTCGATGGAAGATCGACACGCTGCGAACGGCAGACAACGACTTCAATTAGCATGGCTCGAGTTGAAGGACGATCAACACACTTATTCACTGCAAACGGTGGGCAACAACTTGGATCAGCATGGCTCAAGCTCGAACAAGGATCGACACTCACAAACTGCGAATGGTGGGCAACAATTTGGATCAGCATGGTTCGAAAATCTTGTGAGACAGGTGTCCTGTGATAGTTAAAAAAAATGAGAGTTTGATTGATTAGTACTTACCTTTAAAAAGGCTAAAAGTAGCCTGATTAATCAATGGTGCAAATCCCGAAGACAACAGTTTGACGTGGAGACCGAAGTTGTCACAGTCGAAGTCGAAGTCGATAACGGTTCGGAATGGTTCGGCAGGGCCGAACCAGAACGGGACCGTTGGGGAAGACCTAGAACCGAGAACTGTTTTCCGGTCCGGTTCTGGCTGGTGTGAGAACCGTGGACCGAACCGCGGAGAACCGGACCAAAAGTCCGGTTCGAACCATGGTTCTGGACCGGACCGCGGCAGCACTACACACTCTGGCGTCACCAATGTTATGTCAGCCTATGAATCCATCAAATTGTATTATTTAATTATATATAATACACGTGACGAAAGTTGATGCGTGGAGATCATGTCAACATAGGACTGATAACCCTATTTTTGGAAATAAATGCTATGAATTTTCCGATTGGCCGTGTAGCTTGAGTGATATGTCACATCCCTTGACCTAATTAGGGTGTAAAAGTGCCGGTTCCACTAGCGAGGCCAAGTTTTGAAAAACACGTACTGCAATCTCATATGCAACACACTGTAAATCAAACACGGTCTAGCATTTCCAACTTGAGCCGTTGAATTTATCATTTCTAAGATTCTGTAAATTAATTACGTGCGGAAATAATACCAAGCTGAAAATCGTTTATTATTACATAAACACATTGTTTGACCTGGCCGCCAACAAACTTACATCTTACTTAGCTGATGCTGGTACTCCGAGGAATCTCAAACATAATTCACTGACGCATTCCAACTATCCTGCTTGTGGTCGGACCCTTGGCAAATGTGACACGTCCACCAGTGACGCTTCGACAACACGGTATAGAGACTTAAGCCTAAGTACCTAACCTTCGGCCATCGCGATCCATCCTTCCATTGTAGATCGGCGAAACTTGATGACTGCAAGAGATGCTGGCAATCATGACACTATGTTTGAATTTCTATTTATGCATGACCCAGCTACGACGTGGCGGCTACTCACAAACTACCAAACGTTACTTGCTAATGACGATGAAGTTTCTGTGGCGGACTCATTCGCATCAGTCCGAACTGAGCAATTCATTTGGACGTTCCGTGTACTTACGAGGTTAGCCTTATCCCCTCGTGATTTTTCCCCTCGTGGCGATTCCCCTCGTGGTTCTTTCAGCATGATCATCGTGCTGAACGCCACAGAACTCGTCATTACATGGACAACGCGGCAGTGTTTTAGTGGTTAGAGTGATTGCTCGTCATGGCTGTTTTCTCTATTCTGTTCATCGGTCACTGGGTCTTGGTCTAAATTCCCATGTTGGCTGTATCGTGGCGGTACTACACCCGACAGCTCATCGCCAAGGTCTGCTATAGCTGGCCACGGTCTGGATATGTGTACGATCTTTTGTGGAGGAGGCTAAAATGGAGCGGCCCTGCGAGAATGTATAAAAGATTCCCTCAGATTTTCAGTGTGAATCATCACTCTCATACATCCCTGACCATGCAACTTTCTGTGCTCCTAAGCGCGCTTATATCTTTCGTCATTCTTGCTACAGCGTCACCCACGCCTGGAGCCATCTCGAAACGTTCCTGTGAGTGTTCATGATCATCAGCAGTATTATATTCACTCATATGCCATAATGCACCACTCAGTCGAGGGAAACACGCTTGACACGAACTTTGGACGCGATCTCCTAGTAGAGAGCAAGGAGCGCAAGGAACTTGAGTCACGCATCGCTTACGACGACGACGACTTCCCAAGCACTGGAGGTGGGGTAACTTATTTGCTATTTACTCATTTACTCATGGTACCTTTTGTACAGGCAAGAAGCGCAGGGAACTTGCGACACACCTCGCTTACTCCGACGACGACGTCACTGGAGGTGGGGTAACTTATTTGCTATTTACTCATTTACTCATGGTACCTTTTGTACAGGCAAGGAGTGCGATGAATCGGGGTGAGGGTATCTACAAACACCTCAATAGGATAGAAATGTAAATTTATTTAGTCTCCCCTAGCAAGAACATGTAGAAAGAGGACAGGTTCCTTCTTCATCATGAAGTGCATCATATCAGACACTCAACAGAGAATAAAAGACGAGAGGAGGTACGGTGCAGGACTGTTCTACCCTGGATTAAGATCGAACGATTGAGGAATGCCCTGCTTCCTATGTAGCAGAGAATTCGAAACTTTGAAACAAACCGCATGCTGATAAATTGCATCTAGATCGTACGGAATACACCAAAAAACCTCTTAACAAACACAGATCCACCTAGGCACACTCTTCGACACGACATCCCTCAAGCCCATCTGCGTCCCGTCCAAGTTTCAAATTGTGCATGACCATGCTCCAAGAGCACCTCGACCTTCATGACGCTCGCCCACTTGGGAGCTGCACTCTTCGCGAGCTTAAGAAGCGTTTCTGCAGGTTTGCACGCCATGTCCACAACCACGCCGTTCACAGTCGCGTCAAACAACGCCAACGGAAGAAGTACAGATCCCGGGCTAGTACTATTAGTATTTGTTACGGTCGCTGGAACGGTGGATACGATGACATTTGGTGCAGGTCCTTCAGCAGGCCAAGCATCAAGCACCTCGATCAGCTTGATGGGGATGTCGAGGAATGCTTCGATGAGCACCTGCCCCTTGCTTATAGTCCGGTTGAGCGGGTAGGTGCGTTGAACCCCCAGGGACTAAAGCGCAATGATGGCGGCTCTGGCGGTTCGTCCTGCGCCGATGACGAGGGCGGCAGCAAGCGCACCAATAGATAGCGCACGAGAGCGAATGGATTCACGAATGCCGAGCCAGTCGGTGTTGTCACCGCGGAGGATGCGGTTTCCTCCTTCGATGACCGGTATGGCCCATGGTATTTACAGCCCAGATAGCTTTAGTGGTTGGCGAAAGCTTGTCAAGAAGGGGAATGACGTCGGGTTTGAAGAAAATGGTAACTGAGGCGCTTCCGAAGCCAGGAGCAGCCAAGGTGGCTTTGGAGTTTTGCACCGACTCATCAGCTGTTACTCAAAACTTAAAAGTGTGGGAGAGCCTGAGGACCTCAAATTTAGCGTTATGAAGAGTCAGGGACATGGAATGAGTTGTGTGATTTCCGAACAAGAAGTAGCGTCTCGCAGGAAGCTGAGATCTGACTGGTCGACCTCGGACCACCCCATGATGTTTGTTAATCCCAATGATCAGTTTCGCACCCCGCTGCAAGTGACATTGTCATTATCGTAACGGTGCTTGCGCACAGTCCCCGACTCCTGATTCCGGCCTGCTCGTTCTCAAAATGACATGCACTGCAACGTGTCATCGTACTTCAAGTTCAGGATATATATCGACGTGCTGTGAAGTCTGTAGTGTCTCACAATTAAAGGACCAGGCTGAAGACGACATTGAATGAGCCAAGGACCAACCTATTCGATTGCTTCAGGAAATTCCTTATCGCGGTGAAAACGAAAAAAAAAACAGATGTAGAACTGCCGTCGCTTTGCCGAAAATTGTAGAGCACTCAGCAGATGATAATAAAGTTCAGATTCTGTCCAAGTGCACAGCTTTGCCCATCGGTGATGCAATGCATGGGAATTCGTTTGTGTTCGTCGTTCGACAAAGCCCTCCTCCACTAACGTGGGAGTCGGGGACAAATTCCTCTTAGGCAAATAAAACAGCAAAAGAAGATTAATCATTGAAAATCTTAGGAATTATTGAAAATTTTCTCGATTTCAAGGGCAGAGTACTCGAGCAGTCCCAAAAAAAACAACTGTACTGGTTGACTCCGAACTGGGTATTGCACCATGGCATCAACCGTGATAACAAAGACACACTGTCGCAACATGCCGCTCGGGCTGCCAGCTCAATTTTCAACCGGCTAGGGTGGCAGCATGCAAATCAATTCTCCATCCTAAGGGGTGCAGGTGAGTCATATGGTTAAATCCTGGTTGCACAGCGACCTGTTCATACTTACGCCACCATAGTCACAAACCAGGTTATCGCAGCAAGCCTCGTCTATTATGCATAATTGCCCTTGCTCAAACATGCACCGACAAACATAGATGTTGTCAAAGCAACAACAACGGCGACAGGGGAGAAACGCATCTTCTGTACGAGGTGATATGGGATCCTGAGGAGTGAATAGGATGATATCTAAGGATGGGGGAACACTGTAGGTGACAACCAGCTCTTATATCCTACGTATGCTTATGGGCACGATTTGGCAGATCTAACTACCATCGGATGATTCTGCATAAGTAGTACTCGAAGTCCAATTGCCCGAGTCCGTCCGCTCGTTCCCTCTTGTCCTATTACGAAAGAAAATCACCACGGCAACACACATTCATGTACTGAACTACGAGTGAACGAGGCGGAAAAGGGTGACAAAGTTGGCGGCGATTATTGATGGAAGAAGACCTCTGCATGGACACTTTCAGTCAGCAGCTTGACACCAGGACATCCTAGGAACGATTGCTCACACATCAAGAACTTCTTCGTGATTTCTGTGACGGCCTTGATCATCAAATTCAGTTTCATGATTATAAAATCTTTACATTCTCGAACAAAACGGTTCATCATTCCTTCGGCTTGCAGACAATTGTCTCAGTTGGCGTCTAGCGTTACATCAACTATACGATAACTTCGGGGAGCGTAACGTTTTGAATAGCCGCCACTTCGGCAGTACGCAGCCACTTCCGAATCGAAAGGAAGCGTTTGTATCAAATAGACGCGTCAACTCTGACGCTATCTGGTACTCTCTCTGCTGGCATCAACCACGTGTGTTGAGGCATAGCTGGTTATGAAGTGCCAAGCCACCCCGGGCCGTGCGCGTGATTCATGCATCATGATTCATCCACATCCATACAATCTACGCTACGTATGAGATGACCATGTGCAGCATATTTTCGATAGCCCTCATCCCACACGGATTTAAAGGCTAAACTTAAACCCCAACCCCAGCTCTGCCCCCTCTCCCTCGTATTCACTGGCAGTAATAAACGGAGCTACCTCACCCAAAGGTCATGATCAAATATTTCTCGCAGTACTCTCCTATAGATACTGTCGACGACGACGACAAACTAGCAAAAAGGTTCGGTGAAGAATCTCGTCTCAAGTCACATACCCTTCGCCTGTGGTTGTCCCATGGCGTACTTATTTGCACATCGATTCTCTCTTTTGCGTTATGGATGCGTACGCCTTCGACTCAGCTGATCAACGACACACCTAATATATACTGTAAGTGGAAAGATCGCATCGAAGAGTACAGTTTATAACCCATCGTAGCTCCAGCAAATGTTGCTGTCGAGCCCGTATTTATAAGGTTTAACGGATCCCTCGACTTTCCTTCTATCTATCGTGGTCCACCTTCGCCAGAAATTGATGCCGCTTGGAATGGGATAGCTAATAATTGTGCGTTGTTGTCTCGCTATGCTAATTATAAATCGTTCACCTCCGTAAAACCCAGTAACTCAAATGACCCGCGAAGAGATACTCAAAGGAGGTACAAGCGAGGCAGAATTGCCTTGGAAAGCCAGGTATCCGGAAAAAATTGGTGGACAGTACATTGGTTTTATGGAAGCCATCCACCAATTGCATTGCGTGGTAAGCTATACTGCACCGACAATATGCTCATTCTTGGCTCACATTAGTGTAGAACTTCCTTCGCCAAGCCTCTTGGTGGGAGTATTATGGGTCCATTCAAGAACCTGTGTTCCAAACCACCCCAAGAGTAGTTCGTGCGCATATCGGTGAATATTATTTCTGCCTCGAAGCACTATTGCTTATGGAATATCGTTACGGTCCAGATCACTGCATCGAAATGATAAGGCAGAATATTATGTGCCGTGCTGACACGACGATGATCTCATGGTACTGGGTTCAAGGAGAGACGACCCCTTTACCTAACTTCAACACCCGTCATCGATGCAGGAACTTTGACAAAATCTGGGATTGGTCTATCAAGAACTCCATCCACCTCGCTGAAACCGAGGTCGCGCGCTCTCCAGACTCGGTTGACCTCCCAAGACCACAAGGCCATGTGCATGTGCATGAGGAATGAGAAATATCGTAGTGCTTGCTTACTTGCTCACTGCACTTGTTCAAGAATACTATGGGAGGAAAGCAGCTATTGGTTAGAATAACTGTCGCATTATTATAGAGTCTCCCCGCAAAGGGTTGTTGTGTAACACTGAGGTTTATGTATTCCACATGCAAACATTAACATGGCACCAAGTCAGTAGGATAATTCAGAGGATAAAATGATAAACGATTTTGACTGTGAAATTTTGTAACAATTGCGTAAAGAAATAAACTTATGTACTAAGTAAGTCGAAAATCATTGTTAAACATTGTTGGCAACGAACTTACATCTTAACACATTCTGTCGGCGGCCACGAATTCTCAGTATCCGAGGCGTACCATGATGGTTCCTGGCATGGGGTTCACAGCAGAGTCATCAACAGTGTGAGTACGCAAGATGTTTTAGGGTTACTAGTTATCTTTTCTTTGTTCCTAGGTTCGTTCGACTCATGTGAGCTTGCCGTAGAACGAGACGATCACATAACTTATGCAGATCTTGCTATTCTAAACCGTATGGCTGACGTAGTACTCCGAAGAATCTCAAGCATCGCTCATCAGGATCATCAGCAGCATCATATTCACTCAGATGCCAATGTGCCACTCAGTTGAGCGACAGGAACTTGACAGGAACTTTCAACGTGATCTCCTAGAAGAGCACAAGAAGCGCAAGGAACTCGGGTCGGGTATTGAGTATGGGAACGACTAGGATAATAAACAGCGTAGCAAAAAGAAGTGAGTGTCTACAAAACATACTGATAGAGGAGAAATGTGGTGAGCTGATATAGTCTCCCCTAGCCAGAAAGCAAAGAAAGAAGACAGTCGTTTTGGAGTTGATGATATCAGAGGCTCAATAGAGAATAAAACGGGAGGGAAAGGGGGAAGGGACAGTGCAGGAGTGTTCTACCCCGGATTGGTCGAAGATAAATGTCCTCCTTCCTGTGTAGTAGAGAATTCGGAACTTTGAATCGATACCCATCTAGATCGTACAACTTCATACTGCAAGGATTGCCCATCCGGCCGGCACCTCAAAAAGGAAGTGTTAGAACCATCGTTCGCAACAGTTCACGTGACTCGCTGATGCAAATAAGTCACGCGGACATATCCCTTTTCCTTTCACCTTCACTATCGTCAACAACCAGCACGGTCTTTAGTCTCTTCCTACATGACACCCTTCGTCGATATTGATCCTCAATCTTTTCTCTCGTTACTGTTTTCTACATTCTCCTTTCGCCGTACCGATAAATGTCAAAACTGCTATGCGAGTCTCGTCACTCCATCCAAACCGAACCCTTTCGTACGACATTTATTCAGTTTCTCATACTTTCTTTCTCGCTCTCACTAGTACACCCTGTTAGGATTCAATGACACTCACTCTCTACCTCCGTTTTCACCTAATCATTCGGCCTAGCTATACCCGAGGACCCTTACGGTTCGCGACTATAACTAGCCTATGTACAGTTGATATCTACAGCGAATTCTAACCCAAGATCCCCGCTCAAAGTACGACCGAAAACCTCACAGAAAGTCTCCGTCTCAAGCCTTCTCTCACTCGTCTCGATTATCTTTGCACTCATCTTTTATCTAACTTATCTTCGTTCACTTTCTCCTTCGAAAGCCTTACAATACATGCATTGATACCAAGCTAATCAACAACCTTTTAACAACCAGATACAGACACAAATCCACCTAGGCAGCTGCAAAATATGTCTCCAACACACTCTTCGATACGACAAGCTTCGGGCATCTGCGTCCCATCCAAGTTTCAAATTGCGCACAACCCTGCTCCAGGAGCACCTCAACCTCCATAACCCTTGCCCAATCGAGAGCTGCACCCTTCGCGAACGTGAGAAGAGGTGTCTCTGCGGGTTTGTATGCCATGTCCACGACCACGCCGTTCACGGTCGCGTCAAACAACGCTAACGGAAGGAGTACGACACCTGGGTTAGTGCTGTCGGTAGTTGTCGCACTTGCTGAGACGGTGGATACGATGACAGTTGGTGCAGGCTCCTCAGCAGGCCAGACATCAAACATCTCGATCAGCTTGACGGGGGCGTCAGGGAACGCTTCGACGAGCACTTGTGACTTGCTTGCAGTTCGGTTGAACAGGTAGATGCGTTGAGCCCCCACACGGCCCCGATAGCTTCAGCGGCTGGCGAAAGCTTGCCAAGCAGGGGTATGACGTCGAGTTTGAAGGGAATGGTAACAGAGGCGCCCCCAAAGTCAGGAGCAGCCAAGGTGGCTTTGATTTCTTCACCAACGTCAGTTGTCTCGAGAAGCTCAGAATAACTGCCGCATTATCATAGAGATGAAACGAGCGAGATGTAGGTTTATGTGATCCAGAATGTCAGAGAAGCTTACAAATCTAGGCCAGAAGACAAGAATGACGCAGCAGAAACGCTTCCCAGACACTTGCTCCTGGATGATTCTGTTTCCCGAGGCCACTAAACCCAATGGTTATCGCCGATTGGTGTGCGCCATCGCCTGCTAACTTCCTTCATAATTATGGTGGTCTCGATAAATTCTCACCCGATGTGAGCTTGCTGTAGAACGAGATGATGTACAGATCTTACTATTCTCAAACGCATGGCTGACGTGGTGCTCCGAAGAATCTCAAACGTCGCTCACTAGCATGCTGCCATTCCAAGTGTCCTGCTCGGAGACCTGTGGCAAACCCTATGTCATGTTCACTAGTAGCGCTCCGACAAGGTGTGGAGACATAACCTTTGGCCATCACGCGCACGATTTATCCTTCCAGTCAGTCATCAGTAAATCACGAGTTCACTTTTTCATGCTTATTTTTCGGACTTGGAAATTGTAGATTGGCGAGACTAAACTCCACTTGATGACTGCAAAAGATGCTGGGAATCATGACAACATGTTTGGATTTTCATCCATGCATGCGTTACGACGTGGCGGCTTTTTTGAAGCTTCCGCCGCGGCGGACTCATTTGCATCAATCACTAGGCGATTGCCACGCAACTCATCACGGCTGTTTTCTCTCTTCATCAGTGGAAGGGGCTAAAATCGAGCGGACCCCTGAGAATGTATAAAAAATCCTCATCCGAACGAATAGTCGCCTCCTCTTATCCCTAAACATGCAGCTTTCTGTATTCCTGAGCGCACTTATATCATCTTTCGTCATTCTTGCTGCAGCGTCACCCATGCCTGGAGCCATCTCAAAACGTTCTTGTGAGTATTCACGATCATCAGCAGTATTATATTCACTCAGATGCCAATGTACCACTCAGTTGAGCGACGGGAACGAGGAGAACTTGACACAAACTTTCAACGTGATCTCCTAGAAGAGGACAAGAAGCGCGAGGAGCTGAAGACCGACTTCATAATATATGCTTGGTATGACGGCCCAGGCACTGGAGGTCCGAGGTAGGTATAACTTATTTGTCATTTATTCATTTACGCATTGTACCTTTGCACCAGAAAGGACCTCGGGTACGACGGGCACGACTAGGATGATAGGCAGCGTAGCAAAAAGAAGCGAGTGTCTACAAAACATACTGATAGAGGAGAAATGTAGTGAGTTAATCTAGTCTCCCCTAGCCAGGACACAAAGAAAGAAGACAGTCGTTTTGGAGTTGATGATATCGGAGGCTCAACAGAGAATGAAACGGGAGGGAAAGGGAGAAGGGACGATGCAGGAGTGTTCTACCCTGGATTGGTCGAAGATAAATGCCCTCCCTCCTGTGTAGTAGAGAGTCCGGAACTTTGAAATAAAGTGCATCAATAGCCATCTAGATCGTACAACATACATGTATTGATACCAAGCTAATCAACAACCTTTTAACATCCAAATCCAGACATAGATCCACCTAGGCAGCTGCAAAATATTTCTCCAACACAGTTTTCGACACGACATGCTTCGGACATCTCTGTCCCGTCCAAGTTTCAAATTGCGCATAACCCTGTTCCAGAAGCACCTCAACCCCCATAACCCTCGCCCAATTGGGAGCTGCACTCTTCGCGAGCGTGAGAAGAGGTGTCTCTGCGGGTTTGTATGCCATGTCCACGACCACGCCGTTCACGGTCGCGTCAAACAACGCCAGCGGAAGGAGTACGGCACCTGGGTTAGTGCTGTCGGTAGTTGTCGCACTTGCTGGGACGGTGGATACGATGACAGTTGGTGCAGGTCCCTCAGCAGGCCAGACATCAAGCGTCTCGATCAGCTTGACGGGGGCGTCAGGGAACGCTTCGACGAGCACTTGCGCCTTGCTTGCAGTTCGGTTGAACAGGTAGATGCGTTGAGCCCCCAAGGACTGAAGCGCAAAAATGGCGGCTCTGGCAGTCCCTCCTGCGCCGATAACGAGGGCGGCAGTAGGCGCGCCGATGGATGGCGCACGAGAGCGAATGGATTCACGAATGCCGAGCCAGTCGGTGTTGTCACCGCGGAGGATGCGGTTTCCTCCTTCGATGGCGGGTATAATGGTGTTCACAGCCCCGATAGCTTCAGCGGCTGGCGAAAGCTTGTCAAGAAGGGGTATGACGTCGAGTTTGAAGGGAATGGTAACAGAGGCGCCTCCAAAGTCAGGAGCAGCCAAGGTGGCTTTGATTTCCTCACCAACATTGACTGTCTCGAGAAGCTCATAAGTGTGGGGAAGCCCCAGGACCTCAAATCCAGTGTTGTGAAGAGTCGGGGACATGGAATGAGCTATGGGATTTCCGAACAAGAAGTGGCGTCTCGCAGGAAGCTGACCCAGCAGGTTCAGCGCCTTCTGGATCTGCGCAAAGGAAAGCTGACCAGGTGCTGCCTTCGAGGGAAGAAGAGGGTGCGTCACGGGGCTCAAAGTCGCATTCAGTATACGTGACATCTGACCCTCCACGCCCATGTTGATCGCAATGATCGGTTTTGCGCCCCGCTGCAGGTTAGCCCTCGCAACGAAATCATGCAACGCAAAGTTGTCCTGCAAAGTATCCGCCTTTCCGACGATCTTCACAATGTCTCCGAGTCGGCTCGCAAGCGTGTACTTGCTTCTCACGACATCTTCGTTCCACTTCATCTTTCCACTCCAGTCGTGCCACGATGCGATGATTTGGGAGAATCCCTTGCGAGCGGCGAGTTCTGTAATGAGCTTCTCAGATGCAGAGATCTCCACATCAACATACTCCACTCCAAGTCGCAACGCAAGCCCAAGGAGCTCGAACGCGTCTTTCTCCGAGTTATCCGGGAACGCGCCGCCCTGGCCTATCGTGCGCACGGTGAATATGATTGGGAGACTTGTCGCCCGGCGTAGTGAAGCGACCTGTGCGGAAACGTAAGCCTGAGAAGGGATGGAGCCTAGTGTGTCAGGGGCGCGCAGTAGATCTACACGCAACTCTACAGCATCAACGCCCGTTGTGAGGTCTGGCATGTGGCGCAAAGCGGGTACCACATCAGGATATGTGAGCGACAAGAAGTAGCTACGCTTCCCAGCAGCAACATTCCCCGCGAGGTTCGGCTGGCCTGTGATGTGCTTGAAGAAACGAGAGATCTCTGCGTTGGTTGCCTCGCCGCCGTCAGCGGTTATATGGTTGATGAAATCGTAATTGGCACATTCAATAAACCATGGTTCCCGACGTTTGAATACCTCGGTAATCGGCTCGCCGTACGCAGGACGTGCGTTTTCATCGCCAAGGTAGCTCACAATCTCCTCGATGTCCCTCAGGACATGCACGACCGGGCCCGTCTTTCCATAGTTCTTCAAAATATCCCTGGCTTCAGGAGTCTCCACAATCCCACCGCCCATGCTGATCACGTGTCCTGTTCCAGCCTCCTGTATGATCTGCTTCAAGTTTTCCGCCTCTGCAGCACGGAATGCAGGCCACCCGTTGGCATGTACGAACTCGCGTACGCCAATGTTGTGTTTGGCTTCGAAGAAATGGTCTGCATCAATGAATGGGCGAGAGAGAGCAGCGCTCGCGAGTGTTCCGACGTGTGTCTTGCCTGAACCGCGCATGCCAATGAGGATCACGGATGCAGAGGCTGCAGGGGAGGGTGTCCCAGAAGTAGCAGCGGTGGAGCTCTCAGCATGCGGGAGCTCGATGCCCCCAACTTTGATGCCTATCTGGGTGTACATGTTAGGACCAAGCTTGAGGGAGAACGAATAAAGATGTGAATCACACCTTGTTCTCCAAATCATCCCACCAGTTGGGCCATGTCTTTTCGACGCAACGTTTCTCCTCGATGATTGTGTCGGGTACGATGGTACTTAAGACGCTGAACGCCATCGCGACACGGTGGTCGTCATAGCAGTGTATGCTCGCGCCACGGGTGAGGGTGTTGAATGGGCGACCGTACACCTCGAGTCCATCATCCAGTTCTTTGGTCTGCACGCCGAATTTGGCTGTGAGGGTTAAGTCAGTCATGAGAGTGAGCAGCGATTAGACGCAATCGAAGAACCTACCCAATTGATCAATCATTGCCTTGATACGATTACACTCCTTCACTCTCTGGTTTGCAATCCCAACGATCCTTGTCGTATTCCCCTCCCCGCCCTGCGCAACGGCAGCAAGGGCACACGCTGTCAAAAACGCATCCGTCATCGGCTCCATATCCACCTCTCCAATCGCTTTCAGCTCGCCCCTCTTCGGACCAGTGACGGTCGTCTCATTTGCAGTCTGCACCACATCGCACCCCATGCGTGCAAGGACGTCTACGGCGAAACGAGCATCACCCTGTAAACTTGCGCTTCCGATGTTCTCGAGCGTGCATGTTGTCCCCGTAATGGCAGCAATAGCAAGCGGGTACGTCGCGCTACTCGCGTCGCTTTCAATCGCGTATTGGGCGGGGTTCACGTATGTGCCCTGAGGAATTCGGTAGACGTCGGTTCCTGGGTCGCGCGTGACAATCACTCCGAATGTGCGCATCATCGCGATTGTCATGTCGATGTATGGCTGTGAGATAACAGCGCCACCCACGAGTTCGAGAGTCACCGCCTCCCTTGCATACGGCGCGCAGAGAAGGATGCTGCTGACGTACTGGCTCGACACGCTTGCTGCGAGACGGATCACGCCGCCTTGGAGTCCTTTGGGCGCGATGCTTAGTGGCAGGCAGCCCTCGGATTCGTTGTAGGCAATTTCAGATCCGTTGGCGCGTAGGGCATCTACAAGAGGGCCAATAGGCCGCTGTTTCATGCGAGCATTGCCTGTGATGACAGTGATGGTCCCGGAATTGGCAGCGGCGGAGGGAGACACGAGCGTGCAGACAGTGGTGAGGAAGCGTGCAGCGGTGCCTGCATTCCCAAGGTAAATTTCGTGTCCTGCTGTGGGGACTTGAAGAGCTCCTGCGCCGCCTGTGACTACCAGCGTTTCACCCCCATCTTCCCACGTGAAGGAAGCGCCCTATATAAAGCGAGTTAGCAACAACAACAATGAATGAAGATGAAAGAGTAAGACCTTGAGCTCTTGCAATGCCGCCATCATCACTTGTGTATCATCCGAATGCAACAAGTTCTTCAATCTGCACGTGCCCTGCGCAAGCGCAGCCAGCACTAAAGCACGATTAGAGATACTCTTGCTGCCCGGCGTCGCCATCTTGACATGTTGTGTTCCCAGCGAAGTAGCACTGAGATCAACCTTGACCGTAACAGCCTCCGAAAGGACTTTGGCAATGACTGCATCGTCAACGGCTGTCGCTTTCTGCTCGTATGTGGCTCCAATACGGGAGAGAATGACCACTTTTTTCTGTGGGCCGGAGTTTTTCTTATCGACGCGCATGATATCTAGGAGCCTGTCGACACTAAGGTCGCGAGCACCAGGACATCTGATTACTCTCTGATCTGCCAAGCTTACGGGCAACCCATATGCTCTCAGACACCTCACGAGTCTTCCGACGGCCACCTGCTTCAATACGCCCATTCCCCGAGCGACTTCCGCCTCAAACATCATACCGATACTGACGCATTCTCCGTGAAGCATGTGTGGCGTCAGAACGGCTTCAATGGCATGGCCAATGGTGTGTCCGAAGTTAACAAGGTTACGGAGTCCGGTCTCGCGTTCATCGATGGTGACGATGTGGGATTTGACGTAGATACTACCTCGGATGACGGAGAGGAGGAGAGATTGAGAGGTAGAGCGCGTGCTAATGTGACGACCTGCAGAGCCTGTGGAAGGCGTGCGAATAGCATTGTAGATTAATTGAGCGTTGTTTTCGAGGGAATTAAATTCGGTTTCATCCCATATCGCTGCGGTCTTTAAGGGCACGTTATAAAGTGGACTTGTAGGAAACTAGGAACAAGCACACCTTGACAACCTCAGCCATACCATTGCTGAACTCGCGTTCAGGAAGGGTCTCGAGGAATGCAGCGTCAATGAATATGTATTCTGGCTGCCAGAACGCGCCGATGAGGTTCTTGCCAGCAGGGGTGTCGATGGCAGTTTTTCCGCCCACGGAGGAATCCACCATTGCAAGAAGCGTAGTAGGGATCTGAACAAATCGTACACCACGCATGCTGCGAGAAGGTTAGTATTAGCCAGAGACAGGCATATTACAGGAAGGATATGAAAAGTCGAGGATGGGATGGGAATCGTGCAGAAAGATAAATAGTGATGATGGGATAGCTTGGAAGGAAGTCTATAGGGTTCACTCACAAGGTCGCAGCAACAAAACCAACAAGATCACCAATGACACCTCCACCAAGAGCGAGGATGACGGTGTCACGAGTGCAGCGCTCGAGAAGGAGAAAGTCTTCGATATCGGCCTTTCCTTCACGAGACTTTGTCGTCTCTCCAGGTAAGATAATACGGGAGAGGAAACGCGGTTTGGCGGAAGAAAGCTGAAATGGGAGTCAGATTGGAATGCAAGACAAATACATGGAATGAGCGGATAGAAAGGACACGCACCTTGTTGATCTCTGCACTGAAAGCTTTTTCGAAGGCAGAGAGGTAGAACTGGGCTACATTTGTGTCTGTTACGAGAACATAGACAGATGCAGGAAGTGTGGTGAGCACTGTACGTGCAATGTATGGGATCAAGTGGAAACCGCAGTGAATGGACTCTCGTCCGAGAATGGACACTTTCAAGATGTCCGGGACAGTGTCCATGATGTGTTCCTTTCAATCTGCAATCAAGTTGAGGGAAAAAAGAAAAAGAGAGACGCGATGCGAGCTGATTTGAAGGGGAGATATACTTAAGTACTAGTACTGAAACGTGATCGATGTGGTCTGATAGCGATATGATCATCGCCCCCTAATCTGGGAATAAATCGGCTCAGATGCGAATTGACAACCGGCTCATCGTTAGAACCGAAGTAACAGGCGATGACCGTTAGCCTCAAGCTAATGGTTGATGCATGCTCAATTCTACAATGCCGTCGTCCTTTCCTAAACCTGGGCTGGTGCCTAACTTAACTTAATCTTATAGAGGCACCAGCCAGCTGTACTTGCAGTCAAATTACGTTCATAAATGCACCGCTCACTCAAAAATATGGTATGTTGATTAGCATCGTTACATAACGAAATTTAGATAATGGCCAGGCCAAGGTTTAGGCCTTAGGTCCTGCTTCCATAACTTAGGGTTGGGCACGCCGAGTCCGGGTTTGGTCTATAGCGGTGCAGCGTGCTCGGGTCCCATGACAATATTTTACATTTGAGCATACCTAAGGTAGCGGTGGCGTTGTGGTGAATGGTATGGGGTTAGTGTGCATGTTGACATGATAGTGTAGACTAAGGCAGAGCACTCCGTCGTTGTCGCTGGTTTCCGCGCCGAGGAACCACCAGCACTAGTGGCTGTGACCAACATATAGACGATGCACTCAAAATGAACATGTGAGATCAGCGCATGTCAGCATACCTCGATACCACATGGTGGGAAGTAGATAACTGGCCTGCATGTCTATATCATACTTCTTATACGGCACCTTACAGCAGCCTGAGTGATATCGCAATTCGCTTTTCACTCGGGTCGTAGGGAACTCTGGTCCGCATTAGGTTCAGTCTTCTGCTTGGGTACTCCTCTCTAATTGCCACTGCAACAGGGTGGCGGTGCCATTAGTGCGTTTTGGGGATGACATTGCCTCTGAGAGCAAGCAACTCGCTTGCATGAACTCGGCGGCCTAGTAATCGTATGGCCAGCCCTTAGATACCTGGTAACGCAGTGCTAATTGAAGATATGGGTAAGAAAATGCCCAGTTCTTTGCACTGGTTTCTACATTCTTTCACACTCGGACACGCCTCATCGTGTCTGAATGGTTTATTTGTCGCAGAGCGCACGTTTCCAGTTAGAAGGGTGGTGCTGCCAGAGCTGGTTACGTACATATACATTCGTGTTTCACCTGGATGAAGGAAAGAGTTTTGTTTGTGATTTGGCATGGGTGAACCGTATGGATGGAGAAGTTTGTGACCACTGTTCACATGTTCACACGTCAACTGAATGAAACTCCCTGGGGAAGATCAGTTATTAGGCAGATTTCTCGGAACACGGACGAGGCCCGTCGTATAATTCCTTTCGTCTACCTGACGCAGGTCCCCATGACATGCATTTCAGTACAGAAACGACGCACCTTGAGTATTTCATTCGAGGAAATCTTAACCGGTAAGGCACCACCGTAACGTCGAGCCCAATCCGATAGATTATGGGCAGTGTCACAGACAGACCTAAGGCCACAGTAGGGAAAGTACTTATGCCGTAGAATGAGGGTGAAAAACTAGTTTGTTTCTAGACTGTATGTGTTCTTCTCCAACTGCAACAATTCCTTGTCAGATAGATTTCCAGATACATCAAAATTCATACCTCAGCTTCGAGCTCCCTTCTCACTCTATATTCCTCATCTGCCTTGATAACTAGATGGTAATCATCTAAATCCTCAATAACGAAAGGATCCTTCTCGTTCATCGTGAGTAGTATTTGCTTAACAGCTGAGTCACTGCAAGCGTAAGTGCCCAACGGCGATCGGTCTATAGTTCATTTGAAAGACGAAAAATGACTGCAAACCAAGTTAAAAGCACTCCTGTGCATGGTGAATTACCTCAAAGGAGGTTGAATACAAGAACGCACCTTTAATGGCTCTCATGCTTGAGCGACCGCTTCCGAGTCTGTGACGGCAGAGCTCACGACTTTCCACGCAACTCCACAATCCAGGCTACCAGTATGTGCGAAATACTTCCCAGAAACGAGCTGTGGAACACGCCAATGGTAATCAATGAGAAGAAGACAGAATTGTTCTCAGCGTTGCCGTGAAACGCACTGAAAGCAGTGAAGTTGGTGATGGGCGCGTGAGTAACACAAGCGTTACAGTCTGACCGAGAATAGACCCGTCGAGCACACGCATGTCCTTATATCTATGCAATCCTCATAAGTACCTATGCTACCCCTCGCGCGCTCCATCATTTCGAATATTTATCGACCACCATCGCCCATTCTCTTCAGCAAAAACGCACTTGGCGTCCGCACAGACTCCGTAAGTGATCTACTTTGCTGTGCACCCACTAGACCCGCAGTTTCCGACTTCTCGGGAAGTTGTCCAACTTGGAGCCAAGACGGTTTTGAGTGGACGATTTGGGACTAGCTTGATGTTTCGCATCATGTTGCCGCACCGAATCGCTTCCCGGAATCCCTTGAAGCTTATCGATTGAAAACCGAGCTGACTTTGATGGGTCCAGAATAACTCCCGTCCCTCGCCCCGTCACCATGTCGTCATTGACTGTTCCCATCGGTGTGTATCTTGCTCGTAGAAGACGACTAGAATGCTGACCACCATGAAAGCTACCACCACGCTCAGTGCCATCGAGCAGTCCAAACGATTAGCGGCATACACTGCTGTGGACAAACACATTCTCCCAGAACATAAGGTGAGTCCTGTCTTCATCTTCATTTGTCTTTTGGAACTTATTATTCTTTGCCGCAAGGTTATCGGAATAGGATCTGGTTTGCACGTACTACAGCTGGGATAGGCTCTTATTTAACGCTTTTCAGGATCTACTGTGCCCTACGTTGTGGAGCGAATCGTCGCACAGGGGCGCGAACTTAACAAGGATCGGGTGTTCATTCCGACTGGATTCCAGTCCAAGGAACTCATCGTCATGTCGAACCTCAACCTTGGCGACGTTGATCAATTTCCTACCATCGACGTCACTATAGATGGTGCTGATGAGTGAGTTTTTTCAATTCCTCAGCAAAGTCGTCAAGCTTGACCATCATCAGAGTTGACCTTGACCTCAACTGTATTAAAGGTGGGGGAGCCTGTCACTTGCGGGAAAAGGTACTCGCGGAGGCTGCGAATACGTACGTCCATAATCATATTTGATGTCTCAGTTCCCTTATCAGTGGACTGTAGATTTATTGTGGTAGCCGACTATCGCAAAAACGCGGAGTACCTCGGGACAAACGTGCGTGCCTGGTCTTCCGAGTGAGGAATGTCGTAATCATCATTCGCAGTTCACTCCTGGCGTTCCAGTCGAAGTCGTGCCATTCGCATACGCCCAAGTTTTGCGTAAATTGCGCGATGTTTTGGGTTCCCCCAACGCTACCCTGCGCATGGCAAAGGCCAAAGCCGGTCCTGTGGTAACAGACAATAGCAATTTCGTCATTGATGCGCCTTTCTCCAGAGAGATCATGAAGGACCCTTCCACTGTACGAGAAATTCTGCCACTGCCTCAGGCTTGTACTGATTACAATTACTGCAGATTTTAGCAAAAATAAAAATGCTCACAGGTGTCGTGGAAGTGGGTTTGTTTTGCGATATGGCTCAGGCCGCATACTTTGGTAACGAGGTCAGTGAACGCGTATCTTGTCTATTTATATCTCTGACGTCTGACGTCAAAATATGGCAGGACGGCAGCGTGACTGTGAAGAGAAAGGTCGAGTCCAAGGTCGTCGAAGAATCAATTCTTCCTTCATGATGACAGCACAATACGATTTTCGATCGCAAGATATAGAGATCATGGATATTGTGTGCGAGACTCCTTGAGGAATGGATATGTGTTTAAAATATAGACTGATTTATCTTACATAAAGTCTTAACACTGGAAGCACACATAAATTTTGAAAAATCAGAAAAAAGGTGTCAATAAATTTCTTGTTTTTGTGTCACCAATGGAGGTTCAAGTCTGTTAAAGATACAGGTAAATATGAACCACAAACTTCTGATGAAGGGTGTTGCAAGTAAGGGGCTACATTCAATACAATTGCCCTGAAAAAGTGCTGATGGCAAACCCCCGCGGTGGGCCCATGAGTGAAAACTGACATAATCTGTGTAATTGGTTCAGGCTAGGGAACTGCACGGGTAAACCCCTGGGTATTGGAGGCCATACCCGCACCCGCACCTGGCAAAAACCTGTACCCACTCTGACGGGTACGGGTTTTCGGCGGGTACAACAAGCTCAGACCCGTACCCGCACCCATGCAGGGTTTACCTGCGGGTACCATAGGTATCACCACCAGTGCTTAGCACATATGTCCAGCACACGTCAGTGAATGCTGACGTGACTTGAACATATGTGGATGGCACAAGGAGGAGTGGAGGCACAGTGCGAATGATGGACACGTCGAAATAGACGCTGATGTCATGGCAGGTGGTGTGTCGCATACAATCAAAGTCGAAGGTGAGCGTGTCGAAATGGGAGATGGTGGTGTGGTGGTGCAAGAGTGTGACGTGTCGGGCATCGCGTCCTCATTGCAGAAAATGGGGGCAGAGTCAGGATGGCGACTTACTGACAAGATCCTTCCTTCCTCCTCTCGTTCCTCCTCTTTTCCTTCTCACTTCCTTCTCTTTCCCTTCTTTCCTCATCCTCGTATCCTCCGTATGTGTCCGAGCCACGCCAGCATTCACTGGCATGCTCTGGGCGCAGACGCTCGATGCTGGCGGTTGGTAGCACGAGGTGGGAGCTGCTGGTGGTGTCCTGGATGGAGGTGGTTGTTGCTGTGGGAAGGGAGCTGCTAGTGATGGTGGTGGTGGTGCCAGCGTCAAGGAACGTGTGAATGGTGGTGGTGGTTGCTGGCTGAGGGCGTCTGTTGATGTGCTTAGTGGTGTTAGAACGGGTGCCAGAAGAATTGGCATGGGGGGTGCAGCGAGTGCTGCCGAACGCGAGGATGCTGGTGGTGGCATGTTAGCAGGTGAGTGCTTGGTGGTGGTGCCGGTTGTAGCGTGCATGCGGGAAGTATCACGTTTATGGAAGGCACAGGTATAGCTGGGGTACGGGTAAGAGCGCGGGTTACCCGTACCCATGCAGATCCCTAGTTCAGGCGGATGGCAGAGGGAAACACGTGGAGTAAACCAGATAAAAGTGACTCCCTGCAGACAACAGGGAGTCCTTTGAGTATTGTGACTAGAAATACATAGTGAAATAAGCCTGAACATCACGAGCAAGCGCGAGACCGAGACTAAGAGACTACGAGACTGGTAAGGACCCTAAAAATACATATAGAGTAGAAAGCAAAAACCCCAGAAAGAGGAGAAAAGTCGTCTCGACCACTATATGGTATAATAAAGGGAGGGTTGGGAGGGATTAAAGATGGATTGGTTGGATAGGAAGAATAGAAAGATAATAAATAATTTAAGCTGAATGCAGTGATGATAGAGACGTACCAAAATCACATGGACAAGTCATGAATGGAAACTTGCCCATGAAAAAGCATCATTTGGAGCAAGATGGGATTTTTTCGAATGTAACATTCCCATGTAGAAGAACGCCAACGTCCGATACACTGGGTGCTGGCAGGGTGCAAGAGGATCGTCATCGCCCTCCGAACATTGAATAAGGACCTGATTCCCTTCAAAATGAATGTCTGCCTTGTCTCTCGGCAGAAGGAAGGAATAGTAGTCGATGTCCACTTGAACCGAGTGATGAAGCGACAACTTTGAATAGTCTTGAAGGTCAAGTTGATCTGGCCATACCAACTTGCCCAATCTCATGAGACCGAAAAAGCCTGATAAGAGTAGGGAGACCCAGAGAAGGTCGTCAAAAGCCCAAGGCCTGGGAAGGTCATGAACAACCCGCACCAAGTCCTCGCACATGAGAGGCTGCTTGCGATGCATAGGACGTCCAAAACGACGCGCCGAACCTTGCAACAATCACTTGACTAAGTGAGATTGCCAGATACTGTGAACTGCTGGGAAGTAGAGCTCGAGTTGACTCATGATGCCAGTGAGGTAGCATTCAACCGAGCGCGGCTGAATATGTTGACACATGTAAACAACATAGAAGGATAAAGTATCTGGAGTAGGTTCCACAGGAAAGTTGTGTAGGGCGCAGAAAGACAAGTAAGAATTGAGATGAGAGGAATAAGTGCGAGTTGTTGAAGGATCAAGGGCAAGACCAAGTGAGATTGAGCGCTTGAGAACGAGACGCTCCAGAGTCCAAGCCTCCCTTGCGGGCTGCTTGGAGTTGGCAGAAAGAGTGATCATTTTTTTGATGCCCCCAGTGCATTCCGAGGGGGTTGAAAAGAGGAAATTACTAAGCCCAGAGAGGCTTCCCAAGCTTCGTTATTCTGCCAATGAGAAAGGTGGTCTGCAACAGTGTTATGGACACCAGGAACATGAAAAACGCACAAGTCAATATCTCCGTCAAGAATAACGTCAACAGCGAGCATCAGCAACCAATTGTAAGGCGGCAAAGCTGCAAGAGTGTTGAACATTGCAACGGTATTCGCATTGTCAGTGAAGACGGCAAGACGTCCGTGAGGGTGCATTCTTCGGACGGCATCAACAATAGCTGCAGTGACAGTGAGAGCTTCGAAGAAGAAGATGGTGTCAGAGGATAAGGCTCCAGGAAGGTCACACTGAAATCCGTGATTGATAGATGGATACCAGAAAGCCATTCTGCTCGCAGAAGCATCAGTGTAAACTGAGAGAGTCGCTTGGGACATATGATGAAAGTCCCAGCTGACAGACCGAATGAAGTATACACCATCAGAAGAGAGGAGATGACGCATGAGCGAATTGAGTTCTCGGACAACGTCTCGATTGACCCAGATCAAAGCCCTTTGCTCAAGCTTGCCTGCAGTTTTTGCATATAGAGCTGAAAGACCATGTCCAGCGAGGCGCTGAAAGTCGCGCAAAGAACGACGGGTCCCTTGAATAGTGAAGATTTGAATTGAGCTAATGAGATTCAGATGCGATTCGTCGGACATGCGAACGCGCAAGATGTTGGGATCCACATCAAAACCAATGATTGGCAACTCCTCTCCAAAGATCTGTTTTCTTTCCTCATGCGGAACCCCCAGGCGATCCCACAAACGGAGGAGCTTGCAAAGGTTGTGCGGCAAAAGCTTGCGATAAGGTGCATACATCTCCATCTCCTCTTTGTGCTGAAAGGAAAAAGAGTTGTCCACATAGATGTAGATATAGAAAATGAGGATTTTAACAATTGCGATCCAGATTACGAGGGCCATGAAGGCATGGTAGATCTGTTGAGAAGCACGTCCGCCGAAAATGTTATGTCGATCAATGAAACGACTTCCCTCAAAGGTGACGATCTGTTTAACCTGCCATAGGGGGTGCATGGGCATATGCCGATAGGCCTCGGAAACATCAGCTTTCCAAAGCTGCAAGTTTCCTCCCAAATGAGTCCGCCAGTAGTGTCGGAGACCACTGCCAAGGTGCTCGATATTATTGAGAGTCACCCCCGCAATGTCTTCCCGAGAAATCATGGAGTTGAGAGAGTACTCCCCGACGCTATGATCCGTAACCAAACGAAACTTGCTGGTCCCAGGCTTAGGCACAGCATGAACAGGCATGCTATACATGCCGGGATAGAGATCAGGTCTGAAAGGTTGAGAATATCGACCCAGTTCCACTTCTTTGTCGATCTGGGTCTTGATGAAATATTTTTCAGCAGCGGAGTTGAGAGGACGAAAGGAATTATCGTGAGTGAGAGGCCAAACCCCGAAATGCGTATCAGCGAAAGGCCAGAACCCTTCATGGAGACCAACGCAAACTGAACGAACAAAAGCCGGGTTAGGATGATCCGAGAGTAGAGATTCAAACTTGTCGATGTTAATACAAGTAGAGACCCTGAAAGAGATGAGAATTGTCCGAAATGGTACAAAGAGCGGAGGAATTCTGAAATTCATGAGCCGGAGGACGAGGTAAAGGAACAACAGTTTTAGTCCACAAAGCAGTTGGACTCTGGGGATGAGACCGCCCATTCCAAACGTTCTTTCGCCTGTAGCGAGGAGAAGCGGCGATAACACTATTTGGATCCTTCACCGGTTTTGCCGAGGCGAGGACAGTCTGATTTCTTGTGAGCCCCTCAACAACCTTTCCTGTCACAGCAGTGCGAGAAGTAACACTCGGAGGAAGATTTGAGACAGGTGCCCCGATTCCACTTGTGGCAAGGTTCTCGTTTCCTTCCTCCTCCACTTGTCCTATCTGACTTCCCTCCTCTGCCAGCGCCTGATTCAGAGGAATTGGGACCCACACCAAAGGAGGACAGGAAGGTGTATTGGAGTTCGCCAAATGCGGAATAATCAGTGAGGCGAATGTGTCATTGGAGTGAGACCAAGGTGCGGACGGCCTTGTTGTATTCAATAACTCGCGAGTGACGAAGGCGTGGAAGAGACCTGACATGTGAGCATTCCAGCTGGTGTATTCTTCCCAGTGCTGAGGGAAGATGAAAGTGAGTGCGTTGATGTATTTGGTGAAGGCAATGTTGTGATCTGAAGCGGAGTGGATTCCGGCTGTGGATTTACTTGCCCAAAAGGAGAGCTCAACCTTGTCATCAATGACGTGCATTTGCTTTGGCTCCAAGTCGGTTGAATGCGCTGCCTCAAGAACCTTGGCCAAGTCAACAACTTTCCATTGGACGATATTGAGCCATTGTTCTGGGGGAAATGGAGGACATCCGGGAGTGGAAAGGATATCTCTGACGACCCCTTTGGGATCGACTGAGAAACGCTCGAGCTGATCAAAGGTTTGTTTGATATCTGGTGATAAAGCAGCAATGGCGCTGACACATTTTTCATGCCATGGGAACTTGGAGGTGTCAAGACGCCCTTTTGAGCACTTGGAGGGTTACTCATCCTCATCAGAAGACTCGGAACTGTCCCGATTTCTCCTGACTCCTTCTTCGACCTCTTGATCCTCATCTGCT